CGGCAGGATAGCCCCTCTGAGTAGCAGAAAGCTGGACACCACGGACTGCCAGCGATGCGCTTGTGGCGAGGAGGAGACAGCTCTTCGTCGCAACTGGGATTGTTCCTGCAACGGCCTCCTTCCTACCATCTCAGACCCTTATCCGTCGTGCTCAGGAGGACCATGAAGCGCGACCTTGTCTATGGCTCCGGGGAGTCTCACCTCGTCCCGGACGCAAGTGGACGAGCCGACCGACAGACCGCATGGCGAGGTTATGGGCCACAAGGATGATCTTCAAGGGGGCGGACAACTACTTATCGGAGGTGATCCGTTTGGTGTTGCTAAAACTGGAGACCCACAGCTTCGGCGGATTGGTTGGTCGTGCCGAGTTATTCAGGTCCTCCGCGAACCTGCCTTTAATGTCAAGCTGTTGTATTCCCGAGGGGGTGGCATTCCCTTGAAACAAACCATCAACCGGGGGGGGCGACGGCTCTGCTCAAGGCTGTGGAGGATCACTCAGGGCTTGGTGTGCCCATCACTTTTGTCGCGGACTCGGGCTACGTCGTGAAGGGCATCGCCAAGCTCAATGCAGGTCGGCTCCCGACGACAAGTTTGGACCTCTGGTAAAAGTGGAAGCAGGTGTTGTTGCCGCATCCGTCACTGCTCAGAGTTGCCAAAATCGAGAGCCGCACGTCGGCTGAAGAGGCGTCGAATTCTAGCACCAATGTTGAGCATTACCTGGCCAATGCGATGGCCGATGGAGCTGCGGGCTTTTGGGCTGAGAAGTGTGCGGTTCCAAATGCGGCATTGGCAGTTGTGGAGCACGCTGAGGCGATTGGCAGAGCAGCACGGAAGCACCTGGCCAACGCTTTCTTGGCGCCAGTGGAGGCTGAACCAAGGAGACTGCGGCCAACGCGTTCCATGGCGGTGTGCTTTCGGCGTAAAGTCATGATGTCGGAGCATCAGGTGTACACTGCTATGGGAACGACCTCCCATTGCTCTGCTTGTGGCTGCAGCGCCAGTGGTCGAATGCTGGAGAAGTTCATGGAGACACCTCGCCTGGGTGGTGCTGTCAAGGGCAGTATCCAGCGAGTTGGTGACTTTGGGGTGTTGGTGCAAGGAGTACCGATACATGAATCTCATCTGCTGGCGTACTTCAGTTGCCTGCAGATTCGCGCGCGCTTGAAGTGCGGTTGTGTCGGCAGGCATTTCTTGAGAGGGCTGGCGGACGAGTGCAGCGGTCATCTAGGGCACTGCGGCCATCAGAACCTGGGCATGTTGGCGCGTGGCGTTCCCTTTAAGGAGCGTGGCATGCTCACCCGCAAGTAGCCCAGTATTTGCAGCTTCTAACTCTATGTCAGCTGCTGTTTTAACTTTCAGGCCATTTTGACCTTGGAGGCCGCTGTGGTTTTCGTGATATTGGCCTCCACCTCGAGAGCGGCCTCGGCGTGCAGTTTCGCTGGGGGTGGCCCCTCCTGGGGCCCCAGCCATGTGCCACGGCGAGGCGCTCGTATTCCTGGGGGTGGCCCCCCCTGGGACCCCAGGTGGCAGCCGTGGAGAACGGTTATCCGTCTTGGGCTAGCTTGCGCGTGGCATTCTCCTGTAGGGACGTGTCATGTATACTGCAAGGGGCCCAGGACCAGCAGCTTTAACTTCTTCTGTTCAGCTGCTACTTTTACTTCCGATCGTTTTGGTCGTTTGGGGGCTACTGTGGTTTTCATGGTGGCGGCCTCCCTTTCCGAGGACGGCCTCGGCGTGCTGGTATTGCTGGGGGTGGCCCCTCTTGGGGCCCCAGCCAGGTACTTCGTCGAGGCTAATCCTGGGAATACCAAGCAATACCGAAACTCTATGGTTTTCTCGTGTCGGGCCCTGGGAGACACTCGCCCGACACTGTTTCGACACTCTTTCGGGACTTTTCCGGGTGCTCGAAATTATTTCTGGCTTAAGTCGGGCCTGCCCCCTTCAAGGGGGGAAATTCAAAGTTGGTCAAAAAATAGTCTGGGGACGAGTTGTTGAGTATGTTTGCCCATTTGGGGGGCGTTTGGGGGGTATGTTTTATGTTTGGCCCAACATCCCCCTGTAGGGGGACACGCCCGACTTCATTACACAAGGCAGGCGCAGTCCGCCCAGCGCCGTCAGGCGGCCGCGCCGCCGCAGCAGAAGCCCGGCTGGAGCGGACGGGCAAGGCCCAGACGACCTCGCCAGCCCTGGGTCCTGGCCCCGAGGCCCCGAGGCCCCTGGCCCCGTGGCCCCTGGCCCCGTGATCCCTGGAGCCTCCCTGGCTGGGACCCGCCCCGCTGAGGCCCCTCTGCCTGCCGCTCCTCCGCTCCCGGGCGAGCGGCCGCAGCTTGCAGCCCGGCCCACCAGAGCTGGGCTGCTGGGGGGTCCCGCCCGGGCGGCGCTCCACCAGCCTCGTGCTCGGGGGGCCGCCGGGCGACCCCTTCCCCAGGGGGCCTCGGGTGAGGTTCAGGAGGGAGAGAAACACACAGACACAATTCATCGTCGCCTCCCCAGAAGATCTAGGAAAACATTGGAAGTGGTGGGGAGGACAAGAACCCTGAAAACATTGGAACATGTGGGGAATCCTTTTACTTGTGTATATTTATTTGTGTGTCCCTGGGCCCCTTGAGTGAGGTGCCCCCCGCTTCGGCGTCGGGCGCCAGCCGACAGGTCCCCGGCCGCGGGGAAGGGCAGGAACGCGGGCACCGTCCGCTGACGCTTGAGAGCCCGCGCCGGGCGGTCCCGAGGGGCGCGCGCCCCCGACTGGGAGGTGGAGTCAAGCGATGCAGAGGGAAGGAAGGAAGGAAGGAAGGAAGGAAGGAAGGAAGGAAGGAAGGAAGGAAGGAAGGAAGGAAGGAAGGAAGGAAGGAGCAGGAGGAAGAGGACGAGGGATGAATCTCAATTCGTGTGAGGGAGGGGCGGAGGACGAGGAGGAGAAGGCACAGTTGGGAAGCAGGGGAGAGGAAGTAGGGAGCGGGCGAAGACGCGCCTGCCAAGTCACCGCCAGCATTTGCGGCCCAAGACCAGACGCTCTCGGGAGCCTTCCAGACGACGTCTCGGCGCCTGTCTGTGCCTCGTCGGCCGGTCTCGGCGACCTCCCTCTTGGACCGTCGTTGGCTCTCCTTTGGGCAGTTCTGGATGTATTTTGGGGCCGTCTTCGGCCCTGGTGGAGCGCTCTTGGGCCGTCTTGAGCCTTGACTTTCCTGGGCCGTCGTGAGACCTCTTCGTCGTCCTCTGGGGGCTTTTGGCGCCAGTTCGGGCCGCCTTTGAGCGCTCCTGCCCTGGGCTCATCCAGAAGTCGTCTTGAGCCGTCTTGGGGCCGTCCTAGAATCGTCTTCTGGCTGTCATGGGGCGCTCCTGGTGCCCGCTTTGATACTATTTGGACTGCGTGTCCGAAATCAGGTTCGAATTATCCCGAGTCGAAAGGCTAGGAAACCAGAAATGCACACATTCTGAGTGGCAAGCCTTGCGTGCTCTTCGATAATGGTTGTCTGGGGCTGGGGGTCCTAGTCCCAGCAGGGCCATCTTGGGTCGTCTGTCTTGGAGGCTTTTCAAAACTCTTGTTTGCGTCGTTTGGGCCATATTGGCGATGCCTGGAGCCCTCACAGGCCGTGTTGGTTGCTGTTTGGGTTATGTGTTGCGGTGCCATTTGAGGGACCAGTAGCGGCGAGATGGGCCCAAAGGGTTGCGTTTGGGAATGGAAAATTGAACCCGAGGCTGGCTTCGGAGCCAGCACATTCAGACCCCGTATGGAAACAGTGGGCGGCGGATCGAAGACACATCTGGCGAATCATCGCTGCCTCCTACCCGTGTGCAAACAGAGCCGTGTGTAGCCGAGCGACGTTGATTGAGTTACGACTCCCAGAAGTGCTGTCGGGACAATTGGGGGAGCAGATGGGGTCCAGATTGAAGAGTTGCTTGGAGCCTGTGGAGGGTCTGTCAGTCATGGGTGTCTTCTGGGGCATGCCTGGGCCCCTGGAGCAGTCGTGCGGCGCTCTCGGTCCGCCAGCTGTGCTCTTCGAGGGGGCTTGGGAGGAGACCTCCTGGGAGCCTCCGTGGGCCGCCTTTAGGGCTCCGTGGGGCCGCTTGGAGCTGCTCAGGAGCCTTCGTGGGGGCCCCTTGGGGGCCCCTGGGGGCCTCCAGGGTTCAGCTGGGGGTTGCCGGGCCCATCCTGAGAGGAAGGAGGGAGGAGGGAGGAGGGAGGAGGGAGGAGGGAGGGAGGGAGGGAGGGAGGGAGGGAGGGAGGGAGGAGGAGGAGGAGGAGGAGGAGAAGGAGGAGGAGGATGCAGGCTTCTGACGCCGGAGCAATACATGTTAGCCAGCCTGGGCCCCAAACAGGGTGGCAGCTCATTGCAGATTTGTGTAAACTATGTGGTGCACGCTGTGTGGCGCAATCTCCTCCTCCTGCTCCGCCTCCTCCTCCTCCTCCTCCTCCTCCTCAGGCTTAGTGGTGTAATCTATCTGGTGCAATATACGTAGTGCAAGCTATGCGATATAAGCTATGTGTTGCAGGCTATATTGGGTAAGCTGTGCTGCGCAAGGTATGTAGTGCAAGTTATGTGGTGCAGTAAATTTGGTGTAAGCTATGTGGTGCGGCGATGGTGCGGCGACAGACGTGAACGGGGCCCGAGGGGCCGCAGACGCTACTTGCATGCATTGGGAAACATTGGGCAGCGACCGACGGGAACGGGGCCGCCTGGTCCGCAGACTGACCCAGTTCCTTAGAAGCGGTGTAAGAATTCGTAAGTGCAAGCGCTGCTTGGGAAATGTCGGGAACGGTCGCGCGTTCCACAAGGTTCGAGCTTGGAAGCGCCCAGAAATCATGGGCCAGCAGCGGCCGCCGAGCCGCGTCAAAGCCGCCGTCGTCGTGCTGCCCGGGCTGCTGGCCCATGGCGTTTGCACTTCGTGTTAGCGTACTCGTCAGAGTTCTGGCGTTGATCAGCGCATCATGCAGTGGCACAGCAGCCTTGTCAATGAATCCCCACAAGTGCTCCCCACGCTCCTTGCCGGCCGCCTCCAAGGTCAAGAAATCTGCTGCCGACGTCGCCGCGGTCATCATGCAGGAGAGAACAAACATCGGAAGCAGTTGCAGACTCAAGCAGGGCAGAAGCATGGACGATAGGGTCACACAAGGAGGATTGTTGGATCAGAAGCGATCAGAGTGAGTCAACCAGACTAGCCTTTCCTGCATACAACCACGCTGATCCTTGCATAACGGTGGCCAAGTGATGTCGTGCCCGCTGTTGCCTTAGGATGCCAGACATCATATTCCGCCAGACAATAAGTGACGAGTGGAGGCCAGCTTATCGAATGGCATTCGGCCACACTGGCCACAGTGCTTGATGCTTGAATCAGAAGCATATCGCATGTCTACTGGGACGCCTCGTTGTTGCCTGTTGGGGCCTCTTGGGGGCCTCTTGGAACATAGGTGCCTCCGAGGGGCGTCCTGACGATGTTGGAGGGCATCTTGGGGTCAAAATGTGAGTTCGAGTTCCCCCTCTTGGCTATCTCTTGGGACAAGTTGTGGAGCCGCCTGGGCCCTGTTTGTGATCTCTCGGGTGATCCTTGGGGGCCTCTTGGGTCGTATACCCTCAAAACTGTAGCGGCGAGCATGTTGCATCCGTATGTTTCTGAATGAGAAAACATGTTTTCAGTATTTGTTATGTCTTGGGCCAGGCCACAGGACCTCGAAGATCGCACAGGATGTGCCGACGAGGGGTCCAGCACTGGCTAGAGAGATCAAATGCCGAACTTGTGCGAAGCATCACGGAGATACATGATTGCCAACATGATTCGAAGTTTCATGTTGCCGGTCTGAATTATCAGCCAAGCGCAGAGGGGTGTTGGGGGAGGGGGGAAGGTTTCTTCGAAGCACCCCTACTTCTTGAGGGCGCGGGCCACCTTACATCTATAGAAGAACACCTGCTTCTATAGATGTAAGACTGGCGCCTGATAAGAAGCAGCCGCCTGAGAAGCCTTCTCCCATCCCCCTACCCCCTTGCTTGTGCACGCCGCCAGTTTCTAAATGTGACGTTGTGGAGGTGGCCAGCTTGGCGAGCCAATCAGTTCACACTGCGCCGACCAGTCCACAGGGTTATGACTACGTTGTGCACGTGTTCAAATCCAAAGCGTCTGCATGCATACAGGGGTAGATTCGATTATCCACGAGGTGGCGTACAAGAGTGTGCAGATGTTGTTATGTATATGTTTTTGGGGGGGCATCTTACATCTGTCAGAACAGGAGGAGATACGAGAGGATGAATATTCGATCGAACCGAGATGACCAAGAAAGTAGCTTGGTAGCGTAGGTCCTTGCCTCACATTCATAGGACCAAGGTCGAGCGAATTGTTATGGCAGGCTCATGTATAGCACTCGACGTGACTACATAGTTAAAAAAGTAGATTCTCCCCAGCAGGAGCTTGCAGATCTGCAGCAGACTGCCTCCGTCATGGCAGCGCTGGAGGGCAGAGAACAACATGACCAGTGCGGCCTGGAGATCTGGCGCTCCTTGGACCCAGAGGATCGCTGACCGTCCACGGCCCTACGGGAGAGAATATCCCTCCCGCTCTGAGTCAGACGGATTGCTCCCAGCATCCGTCCGTTGCGACCTGGATAAGCAGTGCAGACCCCTTTGGCTTCATTGGTATTAGTTTTCCCGAATCGTCAGAACTGGTTTCAGGCGGACTGCGGTTACAAAGCGGAGCCGTAGCCAGTGAGAGTCGGCATTTACGCAAAGTTGACGCACGGCGCCCCAAGGAAGGGCAGTTCATACTTTCATATGTGTGCAGACCGATTTCTAAGAGACACTGGAGTGAAGAGGATGCATAAGAACCATGGGTTGATCGCATAGACAAGTATTTGGAGATAAGTGGTTCCACATGGTACAGAGGGCTCATTCCTAATTCGGTGTAATTGCGACTCCAGCCTAGGACCTTGAGCGGGTCTCATTCGATGGAGAAATTAGAAATGAGCAGCGCTCAAAGATTGATGTCCTTGAGACTGGGCGCACGAAGATACCTTCGTCGGCGTTTCACGCGCGGGTGATGCGATTGGCAGGATGACGACGACAGCAACGCCAACGATGATAATGACCCAGCGTTGGTCGCCCGTTGCAGGCGACATCACCAGAGGCACGCCTTGGCGCGCTCTCCTGAGACGCGTCGTTGGTCCTGTCGGAGGGGGGCGAAGTCCTGTTGGGTCGTTGCCGCAGCTTGCAGCGAGCAGGCGGCACGCCTAGGAGGCAAGCGCATTTGCAATCCGCAGGAGGAATTAGAACTGAGCGGAAGCGGAATTAGAAACGAGAGGAATTAGAAGTGAGTCCTCTGTAGTTAAATTGCCTTGGTGGACATAAACAACAACAACAACACCAACAACAACAACAACAATCATTTTACCCGAACGCTCAGTGTTCTCACCAGTGCCAGGGTTTTCATGCGACGCGAGACAATACCCCCACTTCGTGGGGGGGCAGTTCAAGCTCTACCAAATATCCAAACGACTCTTCGCGACCACCCAAACCCAGCTTCCCGCCCTATGACGTTGGGACACTTCACTTCGTGGCGTGCGGACGACCGTGGCTACTACACTGGCGTGGGGTACACACCCACAGAACTTGGTCACTTATTCGGGGCGCGCGTGTGCCCAGCATCCTGCAATTGTGACATACAATACATGACACAGACAGACAGAGAGAGAGACAGAGAGCAGACAGAGAGAGAGACAGAGAGAGCGGAGTTGGTCACATTTTTGGGGCAAGTTCCTGAGATCGTCGTGTTTTTTGTTGGTCTTGCGCGCGCGAATGTCCACTTTACTTTTTTTTGCAAGGGAGTATTGAAATTTGATTATGTTAGAACAAGAAAAAGTAGCTCGCGCGAGCTCATGTAACATAAATGTTGAAAAACCATTGGTTTTGTGGGAGTCGGACAGCGCGCGCGGGATGAAATTTGGACATTTTTTTTTGAAAAACCATTGGGTTTTTGATGTTTTTATGTTGAAATCGTTACGAAACCTAAGGTTCTGGAAGGATTTCGTCTTGCGCGCGCGAATGTCCACTTTACCTTATTTTTTGCAAGGGATTATTGAAATTTGATTATGTTAGAACAAGAAAAAGTAGCTCGCGCGAGCTCATGTAACATAAATGTTGAAAAACCATTGGTTTTGTGGGATTCGGACAGCGCGCGCGGAAGGACATTTTGACAATTTTTTCTTAAAAAACCATTGGGTTTTTGATGTTTTTATGTTAAAATCGCTACGAAACCTAAGGTTTTGGAAGGATTTCGTCTTGCGCGCACGAATGTCCACTTTACCTTATTTTTTGCAAGGGATTCTTGCAATTTGATCAAGTAAGAACAAGAATTTTCATTTTATAGTGTTTTTTGCAAGGGAAAACGAGCGTCAACAAAACAACCGGATCCGGTAACAATCCACTTTTCTGAAGCTTTCGCTAGAAAATGAAGGAAATGAGGCTGCGGCCTAGGTTTTGGAGGGGGGTCGCGCACCAGGGGTCCCAACAATAATTATTCTTAAGAAGAAATAATGTTCAACAACAACAACAACAACAACAGCAACAACAACAACAACAAAACAACGGACGCATCCTATGGAACTTGAGACGTTCCGAATCAGAACCCAGCTACAGTAACACTAAAGGGACGTAGAGTTCACGGGCCGCGATAGTCAGAGAGGGGTACGTTCGAAGGGAAGGGCTTCAAGTTTCCCCACTGATCACACGTAAGGACAAAAGAGGTCCAAACCGACATGACATGAAGCATACCGCAAGCACAAAGCAAAATATGACGAGATCTTCAGGGGCGTTCCCTGGTGCTCAGAACGTCACCTCGCGGAGCAAGATGCATCTTTTTGCGCCAGAAGGAGTGGGGTGGGGGCTTGCAAAAGCTCGTCATGATCACAGCTGAGGTGGACAGGGCACGCAATCGCCAAGTTGTAGGGGCTGGGGTACCCAATTCGCAAAACTATTGCTCCACATGCTTGCTCCTGGCGGGCGTTCGCTGAGCAGGCGCGGACCGTCTCCCTTTCCCGCGGCAGAGGTGCCCTTGAGTTGCTGCGTTTCCCCCCGCCACGAAGTGTTTCGCACCCCTAGTTTGGCGTGTTGACTGCCAGCATACCTGTGCGCTCGCTGGGGTCAGTCGCAGGCTTTCAACGGAGGGAGCTGATACATGTGGCGTGTATGTGCCATCCATTTGATCCGAGACTGGCCGTCGACAGCACGTGGTGTTCACAGCGAATGCGGAAGAACCAACCTCGCAGGCTCCATTTAGACCCGATCGATCCGATTGCGAAGGCCTGACGGCCGGTGCCGCCAACCCTGAAAGACATCGACGACGACCAGGAGGGGGAGGAGGAGGAGGAGGAGGAGGAGGAGGAGGAGGAGGAGGAGGAGGAGGAGGCAGGGATAAGGAGGAGGAGGAGGAGAAGGAGGAGGAGAAGCAGGAGGAAAAGGACTCCCCCCTGGGCCACCCCCCCCCTGGGGAGGAGGACCGGAGGAGGACCGGCGTGGGAGAGGGGAGGGGAGGGGGAGGAGGACCTCCAGGGACGCATGCGTATCAGACGTTCCTCCCCCCCCCGTGGGACTCCTGGGACTCCTCCCCACCTGGGGAGGACGACCCGAGGAGGACCGGCGCGCCGGAGAAGGACCAGCGTGGGAGAGGAGGACCCCCAGAGGTGATGCGAATCTGACCCCCCCCCCCGGGACCCCCCCCTGCCGAAGGGACGTGGATGGAATTCCCTCAAGCCGCGAACCCGCTCCCCGAACGAGGAAGGGTGCTCTCTCTCTTTCTCTCTCCCCCGACGGGAGAGGAAAATAAAAAAGGGGACGGAAGACGGCTCCCCGTCGGCGGGACCGGACACACACCAACAGGGTCGGCGGATTCGATTTCGATCTTGATTGGCTCGATCCGATTAGATGCTAGTCTGACGATCCGATGCGGCCCGATAAATGCATGGCGCCGTTGTGTTTTTTGGCGTTGCCGATCCGATCCGGATCCGACTCCGTGCCAGTACGGCCCCCCGAGTCGATGCACATTCCGATTTGACACGATCTCCTGGCTGGTGCTGGTTAATTTTGTTTCGAGGTCGGGCCTCCTTGACCTCGTGAGTACACGGCATGCGGTTGCAGCGCTATTCGGAACGTCGTTTTGGCGTGGGTTTGATGTCGTTCTCGGTGACGGCACCTCCCCCCGCCCAGCGCTCGGTGACCCCGAACTGGCCACCAAACGCATCATTCGTTCGTGTTTCAGTTTACCCGACGGGGGGAATATTTTCGAGGGCAAAGTGTCAATGTTTTCCAGTTGCCTGCGGGCTCCTTGCTGTTAGCCGCACTCTCCCGACCAGGTTCGTTAGAGCCACGAGTCTCGCAGGTCTCCGCGTGGCTGGCACGTTCTGGGCGGGACCTGGTCTCTCTCCCGAAGACGCTCAGTAGATCCATAGTTTGGGCTGTCAGTTCGGGTCTCAGGGCAGCTCATTAAAAAATACAGTGTTGTCTTGCTAGCGTTCCGGTGCCACCCTGGGTCGAACGCATGTGCAAGCAGCGACATTTCTCGACAACCATGTGCGTTTTCAATCGTACCTTATTCCCTCGCTCGGCTGAACTATGTCCGTGCGAGCGTGCGCTGCCCCAGAGCGCCATTGATTAGTTTTGAACGGGATTGTTCTACCATGCCTAGTTCTTCCGAAGATGGTCGGTACAGTCGGCCCGGATTAGGAGGTCGACCCTGCCAAATCAAGGGTGCCCTTGTGTCCTGTGTCTCGCGACCCATTTCTCCTACATTCCTACAGCAATGTGGCCCTCGGAAGGGTCCTGTGTTCTCTCGCGTGCCCTGTCCAATCAAGACCGATTTGCAGGACGTTCCGTGCGTTTTCACGTCGGGTATTTGGCCACAGAGACGCACTGAGGTTATCTTGGGCGCGGTCTGGGCCCGTCTCGGGTCTCGCAAGCCGTCCTCGGGATGCTCTCTGGACCGTCTTGGTGGCTTCCTCGGGCCCCGTGGTGCGGTCTTCGAGTTGGGCATCCCTCGAAGCCACAAGGACGTTGGACCCAATAGTGTGGGAAAAGCCAGATTGGGCCAACCATTGGTTGCTTCATTCGGGGTTCCCTGTCCAGAGGCCTTGTGGAGATCTCCGTGTGGGCCTGTTGAGGGCTTCTTGTCGCCTCTTCGAACACCTTCAGAACACCTTGGTTGTGGCCTCTATGGTCTTTGGGCAGTCTTGAAGCGTTCTGGCGGCATATCGCAACCATTTGGCAGCGGCCTTGGGCAAGTTGGTTGCCGACTTGGGGCCATTGAGGGTGGCAGAGAGCGAAACATGAGGGCGCGGTTTTGGGGAGCACGGTTAGCATCGTTGCCAGTATGAGGGGGTGGTCCCTACAGTCCCACCTCACAGAGACGTTAGCAACAGGCTTACGCACGTTCTCATACGAACACGCTGGTGGCAGAATGGTCGACATTACCCCCTTTGAAGCCATGCGGGGTGGATGTGTCCTCGTACACGGGTGTCCAGTTGCCTGCGGCAAGTCCCGCCACCGCGCCAGCCTAGCACCTTAAGCGGCGATTGCCCAGGGGGCGCACAGGAGGCCGTAACGCGGAGCACCTCGTGCTCCGAGGTTTGGGAAAACTACGTTTCCGTGTCGTGTCGGGAGTTCTCTTCTCGAAGTTGCCTTCTGTCTTCTCTTCCGTCTTTTCTTGGGCTCTTGTTGGGCAGCCTTTGGGGTTTCTCTACCAGTTTTCCGGCCTCTTGGGCTCTCTACAGGCTTTATTGGCCCGTCTTGGGGCCATCTTGGCCGCCTGGTGGGTCTCATTGGGCCGTCGTGGGGGCGTTTCGGGGCTTGGTCGCGCTCGTGGGCCAGCTTGGGCCCTCCTGGGCCGTCTAGGGATCCTCTTGAGATGTCGCCAGGCAGTCTTGGACGATCATTGGGCAATTTGGGGGCCATCTTCTACTGTCTTTGGGCCATCTTGGAGGCATCGTAGGGCCGTGTGGAGCGGAAGAAACCCCGAAAAGGTCAAGATCATGATCAAGAAGCCATACGCCCGGTTGCGCGCGGGCAGGACAGACGCGTTGCATTGTATTGCGACTCAGGAAAATGGAGCGCTTCACGATTGTGAAGCAAAAAAGCAGAGCGCATCACGACTGCAAAGCAGAACATGCACGCGCAGAGGGGGAAGAGGGAGGAAAAGAAGAATCAGCGAACTACAAGCGGGATGCCGAATCACTCGTCTACGTCCACGAATTTTGTATCGAAGCGACACCATTGTTGTTTGTCTGCGACGCACTGGAATAGACAATACATTATATTCACAAAAGTTGTGATTTCTCGGGTGCAAGCACTTCGCCTACTCGTGTCTGGGGCGTCAAACTTTCCTTGCAAGAGAATCGGTGATCGGCCTCATGCTGCCCGACAGAAAAGTTATGCTTCAGAGTACGTCAGTGACGTTGCTGGGCCCAATTTTACCAAACCGCAAAAGTTGAGAATGAAGTCGTTGTGCGCTGTACGGTGTAGCCCCCGCTTGTTGTATCACACTTGTGTTGGACACCCTTAAGATATAAGAATGTGGAATGTTCAGAACATGTCGAAAGCAGCGCACTTGGTACCCGCCTATTCGTCGTATGTCGTTCTTGTTTAGCCAGGCAGAGTTTAAAGAGTACATAACTTCTGTAGTAAGCAATGCCCCGAATACGTCCAGCTTTTGTTTTTAGTGATGGACGTGTGCTTCCAAGCCCTTGAGTATTTCTGAAATTCCCCCCAAGCTGCCCCAAGCCGTCTGCCTAATTATGTTTCATTGTGTGGAAATTGTAGGTAGTTGCCCATTGGTGTTTAATTTGTTCAGTAGCCAGAGTCACAACTTGGGTCCCAAAGTTGGATGCCGCAGTTTATGTGCATCAGTTCAAACTTATTTCAATGAAGTTACAGCCCCACTTCGGCTCCCGCTTATGCAGTCGCGTCCAGCAAGTTTTGGAATTGACCCGCGTGCCGCCCAACCATGGATGTTACCAGCGCGCAATAGGATAGGATGGACAAATCCCCAGCAGCAAGTGTCCTTACTGATGCCTCGTCCAACGTATCTCCTGCGTTGTTTGATAACCACATTCATCACAATCACAAACATGAATAGAGGACAATCATGTGCAAATCTCGATTGCTGGTTTCTGGTGCGTGAGTTCTGTCGCCCGTCTGCCACGCAAAAGCACTTGTTTTCGTGTGTGTGTATATATAGTGTTTGTATATACTACCAATGAGAGAAAGAATGTGTGGAGGCACTCCAAAATATACGTAATGCGTCCAAGTGGGCGGTCACGTTGATCGGGTCGAACACGTTCTTCCAGCCGAGGGCAAGCATAGCAACTGCGCCTCCTCGTTCTGCGTGAGATAGTTCGATATGTCTGCGCACAAGATGAGTTGCGTCGGAGGTGTCCCTCCCTCTCCTGAAACCAAGTTTCCTTGTTGTTAGTCTGTTCTCGGCCCCGGTCTCTTGCAGCCTCCCCAGCAATAGAGTCGCCAATAGCTTGTAAATGACGCACAGCAGACTGATAGGGCGGTAATTGTCGCATTGGTCGATCGGGTCTTTGTTCTTGTAGGCGGCAGCCACACCAGCGTGTTTCCATTCCGTCGGCGCTTGTTTTTCCTTCCAACATGCGTTCACCAATGAAGTAATCCATGCTAGCCTTCTTGGGTCCTTTGCCAAAGCTTTCCAAAACTCTGCTGGTATTTCCTTGCTCTGGAGGCTTTTCCCCTACTTAACTTTTAGACTTCTAATTCTAAGTTTCTTTCTGTTGGTAAGGGGGCTTCAAATGGTGCTCGGTCCAACACTTCTGATGGCCGGACTTTCCATTGTTTTTGTTCCAGGTATTCGTCCATTGTGTCCGCTTTCTCTTCTCTATCAACCAACTCGCTTTGTAGATTGTGGAGTCTGTCTTGTTTGCGCGTTTTCGACCGGCTTTTTTTTACGGATGCCCAGTCTTCTCTTTGGATACATTTGTCCATCCATCTCGTTTTGTCTAACATATGTGATATGTTCCGCTTTTGTTTCAACAGCATGTGTTCCTCCGCCGTATGGTGCCGTAGTCATGCCTGGCTCTTTTGCGTGATCAAATCCAAAGTCTTTTTGATATCCAAGGTTGTCGCGTTTTATTTTCCCGGTGCGATTGCGTGTTTTTTTGCACATTATTTGGCATGTTCTGTTTTATCTTTCGTGTCGTGCACGTCTTCTGATTCTGGCTCCAGGTTATTCAAAAATACGTCCGTGAAAAGTTCGCCGGACTCTTCGTCATCCAATGCGGCCCGTGGTTTTGTCTCGCGTCGGGGGGCACTTCCAGCGTCATAGTGCAGGTGACAAGGAATCGGTCAGTAGCCAATCAACACCGAAGCGACTTGATAGAATCTAGCGCGCCCAGCGCGCAAAAGAAAAAAAATGATGTTTTGCGTGAGCATGTCGATTGGGGATGAGGCGGTGATCTTGGCTTCTCTGAAAGTTATGTTTGTTCGATCTTGGTGTACATACGCGCTCGCAATATCCAAACGTATCGCAAAGCAAAACTCCAAGAGAAAATCTCTGTTTGGTCTTTACATTTCGCACGCGGCCTCCCGCCCCCAGCCATGCAGTCCAACTATTTCATCTTCACCAGGACGTGCTCGGTCCACTCGTGCATTCAGGTCACCTAGTACTAATGTACCGTAGTTCGCATAGAAGTCCCAGTATGATGTATCACGCGTGTTGAAGAAGACTATGCGTGCTGCTGGTGGTTGAACCCCGAAAAGGTGAGGACTCGAAATTCTGAAATCAACAATACAATGAATCATGACACACATACGAGTTTGGTTGTTTCATGTCCTACTGGGGCTCTTGCGGCCCTCCTGGGCTGTCTTGGGGGCTTCTTGGGCTGTCCTAAGGAAATCACGGGCCATCCTAGAGCCGTGTTGGGCCGTCTTCGAGGCATCTTCTGACATCTTGGCATCTTCTGACATTTTGGCAGCCTGGGTTGCTTGCCTCGGCCATCTTGGAGGCTCGGCGGCTCGGATCCACTGTTTTTCTTTCGGGCCCTTGTCTCAGGAGCGCGGATCCGTTATCCTTTATGAGGGATGACGGTTTCGTGAGCGCGGGCCTTTTGTTTTGGAAGAGGGGTCGTGGCCTTGGGCGTGGGCCAATTGTGATTTACACCGGGAGGGGGGGGGGGGCGGGAGGGGGTTTGGCTTTGGAAGATGTCCAACATATCACGTAAGCAGCCCGTGGCATTCTACCACGCCTCTACGTGCCAATGGGGCGGCCGCGACCCAGCTGTGGCCATCACCACTGCGGGTCAGAGTGAGTTCCTGTGCAGCCAACCAAGGCGACAGTCACTTGCGCTTCACATGGGGCGGGGGGCACCCGCGAATCTTGGCTGGCAAGTGTTCTGGCGGCCAGCCAGGAGGCAAAGACATTCCTGGGCGACGTGCAGGACGACTTCGCACGTGGTATGCTGGCGCAGGGCGTCCCGCTCCACTCGGCGGCGCTGCTCTTCCTGCAGCCCGAGGCGGCCTTCGGCCGCGCGCTGCGACTGCTGATTGTTCTTCCCCTGGGCGTTCAGCTTGGACGACGGGGCGCGCCTCTGGCGTGAAGCGTGTTTCTGTTTTTTGTGTATGAGGCAGCGGTTTTCTCGAACCGAGGGGCCCCAATCGGATTGGAGAATTTGCTGGCGCATGCCATCGGAGAAAAAAGGTTGTTCCTACGTCGCTCCGTCGGAGGACGACAATTCGTTTCTGTGTGCCCTTTCGGAGCCGTCTTGGGGACTTCAGGGCACCCTCTCGGCGCTCTCATGGGCTATCTTGGAGCCAGTTGGAGGCTTCAGAGTCCCGTTGGAAATGGAACACACACACTGATTGATCCATGAATTTGGTTTTTGGGGAATGCCATTGGGAGGCTCGTTGGCCATTTAGAGTCGTGTTGGGGCAGTCTTGGAGCTTCCTGGAGGCATGCTGGAAACCATCTTGGACGCTCGGACCACTCGCGAAACCGTGGTCTAGGCAGGGGACGGGTAGGAGGAGGGGTCAAGACAACCTCCCCGCCCGCAAGTTACCTCGCTCACCCCCACCCGCCCAACACATATGTAGCAGTTCGGCCTCAGCATGTTCAGCGGTCGTCTTTGGATGGACAGCTAACGGGAACCAAACAAGATCCCACGTGCGCAACGCTGGGGCGAGGTGCGCCACGCGTGCTTGGCACGCCACGTGCGTCAGGTGCTGCAGGCACTTTTGTGGCCCAAGCGTGCCAGGCACGCCTGGTGCGCCAGGTGCGCCACGTGATCCACCTGCGCCATGTGTGTCGCATGCTCCAGCCGCAGTTCGGGGCGCGCGCAGAGTGTGCCAGGTGCACATGCGCACGTGGCAGCACACATCGGGAAACCTGTCGGCCCCCACCACCCTTGTCGCAAACGAGTGCGCAATTGCGGCGGGTTGGCCATCATAGTGTCTGGCGGGCCTGCACATAGCAGGCAATATGCCAGCACCCCCGCCGCCCCAGTCAAACACCACTGCACAATCATCGCGGGGTGACCGCGCATGATCCAGATTGTGCCTCGAAGCGTATTTTGTAATAGGTTTTTGACAGGGCTTTTGGCCTTGCGCGCAGCTGGCAATATGCGGGCACCCCCGCCGTCCTTGTCAAACAAAAAACGATACAGCGTGCTCGCGCCCCCCCCCCATCATGACCCACGATTTTGCCCCAAAGTGGATTTCATATCATTTTTGTTGACAGGGATGGCGTAGGCGTCCTCATTGCTGCTGGTTGGCTGCCGGTCGCCTGAGATGGGATGTTCACTAACCGGGAACAGTGGTGAACCCCGTTGAGAAAGGAAAGAAGGGATTTGGAAGAGTAGTCGAATTATACATGCACCCTTCATGCTTCAAGTCGGTTCGTGCAGGTGGCAGCTCAAGGTCAGATAATGATCAACGGCTCCTGGCGGTTTTAACACCCACACTTTCTTACCATGCCCTCCTGCTAGAACTATTGCCAATCAGCACGGCGTGCTTTCAAATTTCCCGATGGGCTAAACACTGTAGGACGCACATCAGCGGATGTCGAGAATCGCGGGGCCTCACACAGAAGAGCAATTGTTGCGTGTAGATGTTCAGTTTGTATGACTTTCGATTTGTCCTTAGTAAAGCTTCGCGTGTCGTCACCAGACCACCCAGGACCGATGTCCAGGGGAGCTGTCCTTAGCGGAAGAGCGTGGCATCCTCGGGATACCCTTGGGATCTTCAGTGGGCCAGGGGACTTTAATTCTCTTCTTGGCTCTGTTGGGGTGCATCTTGGGAGCCTCGTAGAGGCCTCCTCGGGCGCGTAAAGGGGTTTCTTGGGCCTCTTGCGCGCCGCTTTGGGGCCTCTCGGGTGCCTGACAGGGCCGCTTGGACGCCTCTTGGGGGCATCGTCGGTTCCGTGATCGCCAGATGGGTCAGCGCCCCGCTGTGGGAGAAGCCTTTTGCACCATCTCGGTGCCATTTTGGAGGCGACGAACTACCCCGCGACACCCTTCAACCAGATCCAAGGGGAAGAGGAATAGGTCGGGGGCCACATGCGAGCCCTACCCCTACCCCCCACGATTTCTGAGGGGTCGGGTGGGGTTCAATTCGTTCGGGAGCTCCCGAGCGAAGTGAACCCCACCCTCCCCTTCAGAAATCGTTGGGGTAGGGGTAGGGTTCGCATGTGGCCCCCTAATAGGGGGAGGGGAATGGAGGGGTCAACCAGGACGACTTACACCACCTGATTTGATGGGTCCGTGCTTGGCCAGATATACGCAAGATATTCGCATTGGGCAATCACTCGTCGCGCAGCGCACGTGCTCAGACACACGCCATCCGACTATTAGATCAGGCGCTCGGAGCATCTGCAGCACGCTTGAGCCTACCAATGATATAGGATGTTTCGTTTGATATGCGATCTGGAAGCATGGTTGGCGGTCCGTAGCAGTGCAGTTGATTATTTCCGTGGATGTGAATGTAAAGGCATGCTGGTCGGTAAAGCGTCGCGTGGAATTTGATTCACGTGTTTGTTTCAAGGTGCTCGTGTGTTTGCTGCGAGTTGCCCATCTTCTGTCCCTGCCAGTGGTGCTGCGCCTTGCCGCCCTTGGCCCTCCCAGCGAGGCAGTGCCCTGCGTCGGACAGGAGGTGGAGATGCGCCTCGAACAGGACAGGGGGGCGAGGGCGAGGTGGGAGGCTGACGGGAACGCCGAGACAGGATGGAGACGGGATGGGACAGGCTGGATACGAGATGCGAGCACGTCGTGAGATGTACGCATACCCCGCAGATGCAGATAGGAGAGGCTATGAGGTGCTGGTCTGGGTTCGGCGCGGCGCGCAAAGCCAGCCGCCGGCACGGTTTTGTTCACACGCGTCCAAGCCAGTGTCACCGGCGGGGCCGCGCGGCAACGGGCGCTCCCCGCATCCCCCCCCCCCCCCCGGCCCAAACGACTCCGCGGCCACCTTCCCCTGGGCGGGCCCCGCCGGCCCCTTCCGCCCTCCCTCCTGCAAGTCCCCAGGCCGCGCGGGCCCCACCAGCTGGGCCCCGCCGGGCGCCCTCCCAACGTGTTCGCGGAAGTCCCTCGTTCAGACGATCCGCCTGGGAGGGAAGCGGCCCCCCATATTTTTGAGTCGCGGGGACTTGGAACCAAGACGCGGTCGGGACAGCCGAGGGACACTACGGGGCCAAATGAGGCACAACGGGAGCGGGGGTGGCAGTCAAGGAGCCCCCCCCCCCACATTGAGCAGGGGAATGTTGGAGCGCTGTGGGTTCCAAGAGGGATGTGGTGGTCTGGGGCGGACATCGATGGTGCTCGCTTGACTTGAAGAAGGGGTTCGGCGGCCAGGGACAGGAACGATCAGCGCGGACAGGGGGTGTGAGTGGATGTTGGTCCCGTCACCCGACCACCTCCAACCTGCGCCCGAAATATTGTTATTATATCTTATGGAAAGAAATCATGGGGAGGCTTGTCCAAGGGGGGTTGTCCGGGGGGGGCGGGTCTGGATCTTTGTGGGGTTGTTCAAGGGGTTGTCCAGACCGCGTTGTCTTCCCAGCGCGTGTGCATACCTTTATCATACGTACCATCAAAGCATGGCAGAACCAAGGAAGCCCAGCTGGACATGTCGCCTCTCTTTCTCTCTTCCCTTCCTGTCAGTTCCTCGTCTCTCGTCTCCCCCTTCCGCTCCCGTTCGCACGCCCTCCCTTACCGCACTTCCCGAAATAGTTGTGCTGACTGGGGTCCTGTTGCGGTAGAAGCTAGTTCTGGCAAAGGGACCGGCGCTCAGAGACATCCGCCAGCATCGGGGGTAGCTTGGCCAGTTTCGCCAGAGACGTTCTCGCAATTCTAGGTTCGGAGATGCCCTGAATCTTGTCAGGGCTCGGGGCTGCAGCGCGCGAGGCGGTCCAGCCGGTTTCGCCAGAAGCATTCTCCCAACTCTGGGTTCAGAGATGTTGCGTGGCATTCTCTGGGCAGTTTCGCCTGAGACAGCCTCGCAATTTTGGATTCAAAGATGCCTTGACCTGGACCGTTCCTTCTGAGACGTCGTCAGATGCTGGGCGTGAGATGGTCTGGCCAGTTTCGCTTGGGAGGCCCTCGCATGCCTGGGTTCGGAGATGCAGCGTGCGCGGCCAGCGTCGCCTGAGTCGTCCTCGCATTTCTGGGGTCCAGTTCTGGGCTCCTACATGACCTGACCTGAGGTGGTCTATCCAGGTTCGTCTGCGACATGCCGCGCACAAGGTGATCCAGCCAGTTTCGCCTGAGACGTCCTCATGTATCTGGGCTCGGAAATGCAGCGCGCGCGGCCAGCGTCGCCTGAGTCATCCTCGCAACTCTACGCACCGAGATGCCCTCATCTCAGTGGTTCGCAGCTTCGCCTGAGACATCCTCGCAACTTCGGCCTCAGAGCTGCCGCTTGCGAGGTGGTCTGGCCCGCGTCGCCAGAGACATTCTCGCAATTCTGGGCTCGGAGGTGCCGCGCGAGAGGTTGTCCAACCAGTTTCGTATGAGACATCCTCGCAACTCTGGGTTCCGAGATGCCTCGCGCGAGAGGCAGTCCAGCCTGTTCCGCCTGCGATCCTCGCAACTATGGCATCAGCGACGCCGCGCGCGATGTGGCCTTGCCAGTTTCGTTCGAGGCATTCCTCGCAATGCTGGGTTCCGAGATGCCGCGCGAGGTGGTCCGGCCAGTTTCGCCAGGTGGGCTGTCGGGGCCGCTGGGGGGCATGCCAGGGAGCTCTCTCCAAGCGTGCCTGCTCGCTTGCGGCGCACGTGGCCCTGTGCCCCAACTCGGAGTGCCCCAGTGCTGGGCCGTGCACGAAGGAGCGGCTGCTGGCGCACAGGCAGGCGCGAGTCTTTCTCGGTGACTTGCGCTTCGGCGGGGGCAGCGCGGCAGATCTTGCACGTCTCGCTGCGCGGCGCCGCACGCAGCTCCCGCAGGCCCCCGACTGACCGGGGCCGTGCCAGGCGCCCGCGGTTGCGCGCTGCGCCTGTTGCCCGCTTGTCAAAAAGCCCCAGTTCGAATCACTCGAGAGGGCCATTCGCGTTTACAACGCTTGCCGGGAAGTTTCTTGCGCGCAGCATCGCTGGCCCCCAACCAACAGGTCGCATGCCCGCGGGATTGTGTGCTCGGGCGGCCGCTGGGCCAGCGGTCAAATCGCAGTTTGGACGCTCCAGGAGGGAGCCGGGGGGGCTGCACGCGTGAACGAGCTGGTCGTGATCAGGTTTCCGCATGGTCTGGCGGGGCGCAGACTTCGCGCAGCGAGATTCAGGCGCATCCTGGGACAGCGGGCCGCAGTGCAGCACCTTCGCTGCTCCGCCGATACCGTTTGCAGCATTCGCCCGCTGCGGCATGTCGTGTCGGGCGTTTTTGGTGGGTTGCAGTGGACACGTTGTTTTCAAGTTTCGTTTGCGGGGGGGCGCTTGGGCGCGAAGGAGGCGGGCCGCACGCGGCCGACGCGAACAGGGAATTGGATCAGGACGAAGCAGCGCGCGAGGAATACAAGCGCTGACGAGAAACTAACACCTCGTAACTAGTAAGAACGCGTGGGTGTAAAGTACAGGAAGAGGGGGTCCGACCCAGAAACAGGAAAACTGGATGGGGATGTGTCCAGGGGGTTGTCCAGGAGTTGTTCAGGGGGTTGTCCATGGGGTTGTCCATGGGATTGTCCAGCTTCAACTTCTTACTCCATCAGTCGTCCTCGTCGTCCTCCTACGAATGTTCCTCCTCATCACCTCGCGGGCAAAGTGCCGACGACCGTCGCAAACAATTTCGCATGGTTCGCCGCGTGCGTGCCAAGTCGCGCGGAAACCATGTCAGAGACCACCTTTTTTCGAGGATCCCTACGCCGTGCTGTTTGCGAACCACGTCCTGCATGAGGTGATCCACGCACCGATACTATGAGGAACAAGGCGCACCGCACGCGAGTTGCCTCCGACGGGAACCCATTTGAGGACCGCCGCCACGGCATTCACAATGGTGCGCCAGCGTGGGAATGAGATCGGGGGCCGCAGCCACAGGTGCCACGATCACCCCGCACGGGATCTCATGAGCACGTGGAGTTGTTCTGCGACCGCCACGCAACATCCACTCTTGATACAAACACCACAACGATCTCCCCCGTATCGCCTTCGTTTTGGATTCGTGTCGCTCCTACCTTCTCTCCTCCATTCCCCCCCCCTCGGCTTCGACGGAAAATGAAGACGAGGAGGAGGGGTTGGAGGAGGAGGGGTTGGAGGAGGGGTCGGAGGAGGAAGATGGGTTGGACGAGGAGGGGGACGAAGAGGAGGGGTTGGAGGAGGAGGAGGAGGAGGAGGAAGAGGAGAAGGAAGGAAGAGGAGGAGACGAGGAGGAGACGGATGGGGTTGGAGGAGGAGGAGGAGGAGGAGGAAGAGGAGGAGGAGGAGGAGGAGGAGGGGGAGGAGGAGGAGGAGGAAGAGGGGCAGGAGGAGGAGGAGGAGGGGTTGGAGGAGGAGAAGGAGGAGGGGTTGGAGGAGGAGGAGGAGGAGGAGGAGGAGGAGGAGCAGGAAGAGGAGACGGACCGCCACGACGACGGTGTCGGTGATGGCGGCGGCTGTTGCCTCGGCGGCGGCGCGCGCGCGCTGCACGGAGCACGCGGCCCGTCGCAATTCTGAATTTAAGAGAAGTCGCGCGAGAGGTGATCTGGCAAGGTCCGCCTGCGACGTCCTCGCAACTCTAGGCTTAAGTCGGACCTGTCCCTCTACGGTTAGATGATTCAAAAAGCAGTAAAACAAATAGTACGAGGACGATGTTTTGATATGTGTGTGACTATTCTGGGGCATTGTTGTAGTATATTTAACGGTTCGCCGAAGATCCGCCTGTAGGGGGACACGCCCGACTTAATTCTAGGCTCCAGGATGTTGCGTGTGAAGTTGGCCAGCCACTTCCGTTTGAGGCGTCCTTCGCCTTCCTGGGTTTCGAGATGACGCGCGCAAGGTTGTTCAGTCAGTGTTGCTCAATCTATCGTCGCAACTCCGATATGCCATGACCTGAAGTGGCCCGGTCAGCGTCGCATGGGACATTCTCGCAATTATGGTCTCACTGATGCCGCGCGTGACGTTTCCAAGCCAGTGTCGCGCGAGACGTCCTCGCAACTCTGGGTTCCGATATGCCCTGACCGGAGGTGGTGCGGATCGTCCCTTCGGAAAGATTGTCAAATGCCGCGCGAGAGTTGTTGCGGCCAGTTTCGACAGCTTGAAACGTCCTTGCAGCTCTGGGCTCAGAGATGATGCAAGCGAGATGCTCCAGCCACTTCCCGCCTGAGGGATCCTCGCAATTCTGGGCTCCTATGTTCTGACCTGTGGTGATCCAGCCAGGTTCGTCTGCGACACAGCGCACGATGTTATCCAGCCCATTTCGCTTGAGACGTCCTCGCAATTCTCGGTTCAGAGATGCCACGCGAGGGGTGGTCCGGCCAGCTTCGCCTGCGACGACGTCGCAACTCGACACTCCGAGTACGAGGTTGTCCAGTTAGTTTCGCCTGAGACATCCTCGCAACTGTGGGCTCCGAGATACCGCGCACGAGTTTGTCCACGAAGTTTTGCAGGGGATATCCTCGCGACTTCCTGGGCTCCGATATACTCTGGCCTGAGGTGGCCCGGCCAGTTCCTCATGAGACTTCCTCCAGATTTTGGGCTCAAGGGTACCTAACACGAAATTGTCTTGCAAGGTTCGCCTGAGACGTTCTCGCAACTCTGGGCTCAGAGGTGCTCTAACCTGAGGTGTTCCAGGCAGTTTCATTCACCCACGACTTCTTCTCAATTCTGGGTTCAACCTCGCCTCAACGCCGGCCAAGTCTTTTGTTGGGTACGTCTGGCGTTGCCGCTCGAGTTCCAGCAACACCCGTGATTGGGAATGGTGCTCTCGCCTGAACTTTGGCTACATCCCCGTCTGGGATTGGTGCTGTCGCCTTCGCGCTGGCCGCATCCCTCGTCATTACGCGCGGTGCTCTCGCGTCAGCGCCGGCTACATCCCTAAGTGGGTATTGTGTTGTCGCTCCAGCGCCAGTTACAATCACAAGCTGGGACGCTTATGGTATGCATCTTGGAGGGGTTGACCGAATTGTCCAGGGGGTTGTCTGGGGATTTGGGGAGATCAGATTGTTCTCCATTGGACATAGTAGAGGCGGTTCCCATCTGAGCTCTACGAGGTACTTCTGTAATCCAAACCCAGATAGCAGGGCAACGCTGACAGGGTAGTTCTTACGGTTTCCGCTACGTCTTGGTGACTTATTGAGTTCAGCATTGATGCGGGATCGCGGGCTTGGCCCAGGGGGGCTTCAAATTGTGGCCAGAGAAGCACGGGTGAACACCAGCAGGGGGCATTTGGAGCGCGAAGCAGTCGTTATGGAGAGGAGCGGGCAGTGGAGGGCAGCCATCCCTTGCCAGGAGTCTGGAATGCCGAGCATCCACGCCGTGGAGCGGGCGGCTCAGCTGCGGACGTGCGAGCCAGGTTGCCCACGACTAGCGGCCACGGCAAGCAAATTATCATTTTGAGTTCCGATGACGCTGAGCCAGGTTTCAGCTCCTGCGGCATACTCCCCAAATGGAGCAGCCCTTCTGAACGGAACGCGCGATGGGGATGGCTGCAGCTGCAGAGCGCTTGTGTGTGTGTGTGACAACAAGTGTTTCAGTGACAGCATGTGATGCATGTGATGGTTGCCTTACGGCCGGTGCCGCCGACCCTGAAGACGAGGACGATTACGATTTCGATTTCGATTACGATCAAGATTACGTTGACAACGGCGATTACGACGACGCGCGGATGGCTGTGCCACAGTTTCGGATCAGGGGGCGGAAAGGGGAGGTGGAGGAGGCGGAGGAGGAGGCGGAGGAGGAGGCAAGGCAAGGCAAGGCGCTGGGGGGTCTGCTGAGTCAGCTACTCGAGCACTCGTGTGAGACCCCTGCGAGTTGTGGGGACTGGCCCGTCCCTTTGGCGAGGGCCAGCCTGGCGACCCTCCGCCGAGTCTCTGCTCGACGGGGGTGGCCATACGGCGGTGGAGCACGTAGCTCCAGGTAAGGCTTACATACGCTGGCCTCCTCTCCCCCTGCTGTCTTGTGGAAGCGCAAGCGCCGTTCCACAGGGCGGCCAGGGAGCTGAGACACAACGCACGTGAGCCGTGCAGCGCGGGGAGGGGCCCAGGCCGTCCTGGGGCGTGGGGCCTCCCAGGAGGCGGCTGGCCGACCAGATACGGAGACAGAAGAAACAAGGAGCAACAAGGAGGGGCCGCGGCTGCCATGTCGGTGCTCGCCTTGTCGGAAATGCTCGATACGGCATACCCTCCTGTCGGGCCTTCTACCCTTCCCAAGCGGCGGGGCGGAAGCAGAGGGCAGCAGCAAGCAAAACAGACACTCTAGGATTACAGACTGGAATGAACAAGCTGGGAAGCAACTCTAAAAACTTCGAGTCAGCATACTTCCTCCTGTCGGGCCTTCAGCCCTGCAGCGACTGTTGCAATACCCCACGCTAAGGGGTTACAGACGTGATCTGGGCAGTGCTGGAGAGCTACACTCTTCCTTACAGACTGCTGGCTTCAGGCTCAGTACTTGGAGAGCTGCCTACTCAACTGGGGGCTCCCACCAATGAAGCTCGTCGGTGAAATTAATCTGGTCAGGCCACGGCTCGATCAAGCAGGCATCATCCGATTCCAATTGCGACTGGGCATACCTCAGAGCGTTCACAACGTTGGAAGCGATTATCAGCTGCGCTCGGAGCTGGCGTAGAACCTCCTGCTTTTCCAACTGCTCTTCAACCTCAAGCCGAACGTCGACATTCAGGCGGTTGTAGCTCAACTCGATCAGTGTTTTATGACGCTGAATCGCATTAGCTGCATCTCTGATGGCGGGGACGGCCTGCAAGAAAACGGGGCGAGTGCTTCGGAGGCGCTCGTTTCCAGTCATCAAGCGGCCGATTGGTGTCGCATATCGCACATCGAAGTGGGCCACATGGGCCTGCGCAAACCTGCTTGGGTGAGGAGGTGGCACCTGCATGGAGCACGGTAGCTGGAAGAACACGTAGGAAAAGGGCAAGCAATCAATCAGCCTGAGCCTGACTGCAGAGAAGTACGTAAGTCGGCGTAAAAAATATGCATCACAAGGTACTGCTGGCGTCGTTACCCATCCGTCCCCGACTATCGCCTAGGCCCCGTCGGGATCCCTGGTGAGCCTTCTGGTGTCTCCGCCCCTGAAGACACAAGATCCTGTCATTTGAGCGGCCGCCGTGAAAACACAGGATCCTGTCATTTGTGCGGCCGCCGAGTAGATGGTCCTGGGCCTCCTGAGGTGGCCTCCTGAGGGCTGGGTTGGGCGCCGTAGTTGTACTCGTAATCGTACTCGTACTCGTACTTGTACTCGTACTTGTAGTCGTAATCGTACTCGTACTCATACTCGTATGGCGTGGTGGGGGTCTCACTGGTGGAACCTGCAGGCCCTGTGGAGGTCTCTGGGGGCTCCCTGGTGGCCTGCTGAGTTCCTCGCGTGTAAGACTCCACAAGAGCACGACGCCTCTGTCGGTATTGCGTGGCAAGGTCATACAACTCCTGGAAACGCTTACTAATCTGCTGTTGGTTGCGGAGCTTCTGGTATTGTTGCGGATCCAAGCTAATGGCATTAGCAAACTTTTCCAACTCTCTCTCTGGGGGCCAGGGCGCAACAGTCATGGAAAGAGGAGGCTTCAGCGTACCGTGGGCTACCGACGTCGGAGGATGAGGAGCATCAGGCGCTCCCCGATCTGCCGGCGGTGCTGGTAGGCTGGATTGTGAACTTGAGGCCGTCTCTCCTGCTTCTAGCCCCTGCGCCTGAGGGAGGACTCGACCGCTCTCTCCAGTGCTGTCTTCGGCCCTGCACTGCGCCCCTTCGTGGCGTTGATGCCCAGGAGGGCGACCGAGATGGCCTCCTTGAGCTTGAAGGGCGAGAACGTGCGGACCCAGTCGAGCGCTGCCTCCCCGATCTCCTTCTGCTGGAGGATGGCGCCGAGGACGGGATGCGGGTTCATGCTGTAGCTCAGCTTGCCCATGCGGCCCTCCTCGGACTCGTCGTCCTTCTTGTACGTCTCGGCCACCTTGAAGGTCGTGAAGATCTCTTGAATCATGAGGGGACCAAATTCGTTGGCGGTCGAGTTGATGAATTCTCCGAGGATATTCTGGCATTGGCGTTCCATTTCCGAGCCCGTCGTTCCGTCCATGGTCTTGTGGAGCTCTCTCAGCACTTCGGTGGCGACGTGCACGTGGGGCGGCCCGAGCTTGTGCTTCTTGCCAAGGTTCCTCACCTCCTGCGCGTAGTACTTCCCCGTCTGCAGTCCTGCCACGAAAGGTGGCGCTTGGGCGGGGACCAGCCAGAAGTCGTGCGTCGCGTGGAAGACGTCTCGCATGTCCTGCGCATTGCGCAACGCCAGTTTCATCGTCACTTGGAGGCGCTCCTCGTGGGGGTCGAAGTCGGACTCGAACATTCCTGCGCCGCGTGGTGGTGGCCTGCCTCCGCCGCCTGAGCCTGCCGCTGTGCCAGGCCTTGCGTTTGGCGCTCCTCCCCGTTGGTCGTCGGCTCCTCGCTTGCCGTGCAGCTGCCACCCTGGTCTCGCCGCCAGCGCCACCGCCGTCCCTGCGCCTTTCTCGTACAGAATGCGGCCCCTCGTGGTGTGTGCGGACGTGATATTGCAGTGAGAGTAAGTCTTGGACCTCATAGTCGCAGACACCGCACACCAAGGATTGTGGTACCTGCAGGTCGTGTGACCATTTGCTGTGGTCCACGTGGCACACTCCATACTTCTCGACTGCACGGTGGCAATGGTCGATTGCCGTTTTTCTGGTAAGGAATGTGCTGAGGCACCAAGGGCACTGATTGGTAACGACCAGTTGTGTCAACAGAGTCCTGATGTTGTGGGCCCCCCTCTTGTGAGCCTGGAGGGCCTGGGCAGTAGCAAACCGTTTCCCACAGATAGTCTCGTGTCCCTGATCGTCGACACATGCATGATCGCACCAGTAGGGACGGGCCAGCTTCTCCTCCTCCTCCTCTTCCTCCTCAAGCGCTCTCTCTCCCTCATCTCCGCTCCCTCGCTGTGCTGCACTGCGCAAGATGCTCGTATCTACACATACCCACTGCTGCCACTCCGCTGTACCAGGCGTTAGGATAGCTAGGTCGGAAGTACGGTGTGCGTACCAACTGCGCATGTTCTCATCGGCCTCGGCAAGAGCATCGAGATCGTTTCGGAATTGTATGGCCATTGGGGTAGAGCACGGTCCTATCCAATCTCTGGGTAATAGTCTGGAGACACCTGCTGCCCGCTCCATAGCACTGGTTCCAAACGTAGCTGCAATCACATTGCCGTGTGCTTCGGGGAACTTCGCCCACTGTTGGTACCATTTGAGTCTTCTGGTGCGTAGGGCCACTGCTGTGCGTTCAAGCCTCCATTCCAGAAATACTTTGGCCGTAGTGTAACAGCGCACGGTCCCGTCCTCGCGTGTCCAAGACATACGCCCGCGTGCGAGCGTACGCAAGTATTTGCCTAGCAGTGCGTCAATAGTGTCCGTCTGGGCTTTGCTGAGAACCATACATGTGAGCCCGCTCAGACCTGCTCCGTACACAAAGGCAATGAACATCATCCGTTTGGTAGCGAAACTGGTTTTGGAACTCCAGAACGTGCCTTCTTGACGCCATGCGAGTCGTATGGCTTGGCATCTTTTTGTGATTTCGCCTGTGAGGCCCTGGTCCGATGGCAGATATGGCCCAAGCACTCTCATTTCTCGGAGAGCTACTCCCTTGAGGTGCTTGCTCCTCCTAACTTTGCGCGTGCAGCCGTAGCTACCTGCGCCACGTAGGCAAAGGAGGTGGTTGGTTTTGGATGCGTTGAGCTTCCATTTACCTGGTGCCAGGGCCTCCTCGAGTTGGGTAGTGGCCTCGTTGAGGTGCGCGATGACCTGCGTGTCTGATGCTCCTTCTTGAAGGGTGTGGGTTTTTGTGATGTCGCCCATAAAAGTATTAATGGCGAGATCGTGGACAGCGCCAGTAATGGGGTGGGGCGTGTCGTGCAGTTTTTGCATTGGGTCGGCCCTCATCTTGTCGTTCCAGCGGTTAACGTAGATGTTGTACCCGTCGTTAAATTGTCGAGGCGCAAGTGTAAAGCCCATTTGGGCGCCAGATAAAGTTTCGAGAGAAACATCTTCGCTGGGCGTCTCCACTGTCATCGTCGTCATATGTATGGCACCGACCGTGTGTGGTTTGTCCCATTCGTCTGCCTGTCGGAATGCTACGGCTTCGAGGAGCCTCTTGTCTGTTGAAGCAAAGGCGTTGGAGCAATCGTAATTCGTCATAATCGTACTGTAGCCCATCTGCTCTGCTTTCCATTTTGTAGTAAGTAACGTCGTAATGGCATTCTCACGGCAGCGGTGGGGCAGTCCCCCCTGAGCCCACGGTGGGTGCAAGTACGGTGTACCCCGCCGGTGGATTCCCGAGAACCACGACATCCCAACACTACAATACGCATGCATAATGCGCTTCCCAAGGATACCTGGTTTAGAATTCCCCTTGTCAGCCCCGAACGCATGGGATCGATGCCAGCTGAGCGGTGTGGTCTGAGTACTACGGCACATAACCAAGATATCTGTGAGTCGACGTAGTGCTGTCTGGTGGGTGGTCCCGCATGGCACAGTCCCAAGCCCCGCTCTCGTCCCCCTGCCAACCGTGTAGTTGTTGATGAGGGAAGCAGGGTCGGTAGGTACTCCCCCTCTCTTGCCCAGTCCACCGCCTGTCCATCCCAGCCTCTCCAGCAATTCCCTCCCCCTTCTAAGCCGATGCTCTACTGCATGCCGTGCTACCTCCTCGTCGTTATCCCCTGTGCGCTGCGCTCGGCGTTGTGCACCACTATCACTAGGATCCCCGAGATTAATGTGTGGGTCGAGTAATAGTAGGGTAACTTCCACAGGTAGACCCCAAGCTGGCCATGCACGTCTCTTGTGGGCTCGTTTGCAGTATCGTAGCATAGATGCGTGGTCCTCTGCTGCTCGATGCCTAAGGTCGCGGTCGATAGGCAAGGGGAGGCGGTCCGAGAAGTTCTCTTCGCGCTCTTGCAACTGCTGCTCTACGTCGATCGCCTGCGCACTGAGACCTCCGTCGTGTGGGTGCTTTGCTAGTTCCGATGTCCACGTCTCAGCCGACCAGTGGGTACGCGGGGCGAAAAAGAATCGCTTCTTCGGGCCTCGGCCGTTAGCCTGGTACTGGATCCTAAGTCGGTGCATCTCCGCAAAGTCCCCCCTCTCCGACGCCTCCCAGATATCCTCTACCAGTTTGTGTTTACGCTGCTTTTCGTAACCCTCCCTAAGTTGCTTCAGCACACTGGTAACTTCTTTGAGCTGCGCTTTCACGGTCTCCAAGGTCTCGTCGGATATGTCGGGCCCGAGGAGCTGTCTGGTATTGCGTCGCCTTTCCAGGAGTTCCATTCGCTGTTGTTTGAGCGCCGTGTAACAGGGGTCTTCACATCGCTGTTGTGGTCCAAAGATCCTGTGGGTGGCATTCCGTACTGCATCTCCGTACTGTTTCCACGCCCTGTCGGGTGTCGGTCGGTCCAAGAGGTCTCTCCATGCTGCATCAGGTCTCTTATTTAGCTCCTCCTCGATACTGTCCAAGACGTCTTGTCTGCGAAACCCTTTACGCAAGCACTGCATGAGCATGTCTCTGTCCAGTCGTACCTTGTCCCTGGGGAGGCGCCGTGGTGCGTGCTTGAGGCGAGTCGAGAACACAAGACCGATCGGGACGTGGTCTCTAGATCCTTTGGCACGTATCAGCTGTAGCCTTTTCCCTGCAGTGTGTAGGGCGAAACATTTTTCTATCAGATGTGACGCACCCATTGGCACTGCAAAATGATCTACTTTGCTTGTACCTCCCTTGGGACCGAAGTAGGTTGGGCCGACGTCGTAGAGCGTGGTGGCAACCGCAAAGTTGCCAGTCTGGCAGAACTGTCGGAAGCACTTGCCATTCTCATTCTCGACGGTCTTCGCATACGGGCCGAGACAACCTGTGATGGTACGCTGTAGTGTGCCGTCACTCGCTCGATGAATACCGAAGTCCGTGTTGATATCGCCGCCTACGATTGTGAGTGTGCGTGCACCTAGTTTGTCCGTCGTGTGTTCCAGCCACTCGCTGATACGTCGTCCTATTTCTGCATACTGCTTCACATGTGTAGGGGCATAGTACGCTGTGAAGAGGGCTACATCGCACGTCGTAAACGCAAGCTTTACACCCGCTACCCTTCCCTGCAGTAGTGTGGGGGGGGGGGTAAATATTTCACGCAGGCAAGTCCTCGGATGTTTGTTATGGATCAGGAAGGCCAGGCCGCACGCTTTTGTCACGTATTTCCCCTTCCGTCCCCCTAGTCGTAGACACCAGTGGTGGGGCAGTTGCACCGTTCGTACTGGCTCAGCTGTTGTAAGTTCCGATGTACCACTGACTAGAATAACGTCCCACTTCTGCAGTTCCAGGCTAATGTCGCAGAGACGCTCTACTGTGCTGGCCGAGAGAGGATTGTAAGATATAACACGCATACATGAACAATGTGTACAGTGTGTGTGATGCAGAAACCCGCCTCCCCTCCACCTGGCTCTGCAGGGGGAAGCGTGCCGAGAGGTACAGTAGTTGTGCTTGTTGCGGCCGAGCACACCTCCTGAATCCCTCACGGCGGCTCGGAGGAGGAGGAGGACGAGGAGGAAGCGGAAGAGGAGGAGGAGGGGGAGAAGGAGAAGAGGAGGAGGAGGAGGAGTAGCCCCGAGAGGCAACACGACATGCTGGCATTGCTATGTTGTGGCGTTCTCCTGTGCCTTGAAAATTGTTTCAGGGAGGCAAGGAGGACGGTTCGAATGTGGGTGCGGAGTAGAGTGGGGAAGGAGACCGCCACATGATGATGGTGATGGTGTTGCTGGCGATGGTGATGTCAATGGCGATGGCGATGGCGATGACGATGACAACGATGATTGCGATGGTGCTGGAGACGGTGGTGTTGGTATTGATGGTGATGGTGTTGATGATGGTGATGGTGATGATGGTGATGATGATGCTGATGCTGGTGGTGATGGTGATGAAGGTGATGAAAATGATGATGGTGACAATGCTGATGATGATGATGATGATGATGCTGATGCTGATGCTGATGCTGATGCTGATGCTGCTGATGATGATGAGTATGACGATGGTGATGATGCTGATCATAATGATCATGATGATCATGCTAATCATGACGATGGTGATGCTGATGGTAATGGTGACCATGGTGGTTATGAGGAAGAGGAGGACAGTGAGGATGAGGATAAGCATGCCGGTGAGCATGAGGAGGCTGATGAGGACGATGAGGATGAGGATGTTGGTGATGGCGATTGTGGTGGTCCTGAGGATGCGCACGCTGCGGATGATGCTGCCGATAGTTTGGCGAGCGCCTTCAACTAGATTCTAAACGCGCGCGATGCACTCGTTTTTCTAGCTGGTGGTTGGCTGTTCCAACCGAGGGATCTAGAACCCAATATGGCCCGAATGAAAACAACAAGGGCGATCATTGGGTGGGAGCGGCAGTGTGGAGACGTTCATATTTTGAAATATGGCACCGTGATCTCGGCAGTTTTCGCATACATTGTAGACGTTTGCTTGGAGGCCCCCGCTAACCAGCCACAAGCGTTACAACTGAGGTGGGCCGCAGAACGAAGTGGCGGCATCATGGCTTGCGTGCCGCTCATCGAGGGGGCAATCGGCATCCCGCATGGCGGGACGCTCGTAGAGATTCTGGATTTCGTGCGCTTCGGGGACGCAGGTTTTGTTTCGCATTGTGCCGCCTCTTCCCCTCGACGTGGCTCCTGAGATGTTGTGGTGAAGCCCGAGACGACTTCTACCAATCCATTTCGTATGTTGTGTGCTCATCTGCCCCAACCCACGGCACGTAGAGAGTACACAGTGTTGGTCATTGTCGTATTTGATTATTCCTCCCAGCATGTAGTGGCAGTCTCTTTTTCTAAGTGGCGTGTGGTGTTTTGATTGGTGTTTCTTCTTTGTTCACTTTCACACGAGAAGTGGCATCGGGATGGGCCAGATAAGAGCATCGCGATTCGGTTGCTTGGCGCCAACGCAGATCGCCGAGGCGAGGGTGGAGCGTCGGCAAGATCTCATGAATGGAAGTGGGTTTTCATGGCGTGAAGTGTGCCGCCTCTGGTCAAGCTTCCCGATTCGGGCCAATAACCGCCATAGAACTCGGTGTTGCACATACGCTGGCTCGATTAAGAGGTCAGCTATGTGTACGGTGAAAGCGAACGCGGAGGTGGATGTGGAGATCCAGGTGAGAATGATTATTCACATGAGAAGGTGATGGTGGGGTTGAGAGCGGCGATTTCACTTGTGATGATACTGACGACGGTGGTGATGCCAGACGTTATCCGGGCGAGGGTCCCGATCATATGCAGGCGAGGGGCCCAACCGCAAGCCCGGTGGAAACGAAACAAAGAGTCAGCAAAGAGACAACGGGATGCGTGGGAGGGGCGCAACGACATTGGCAGATGGGGTCGCAGAGGTCAGCCGAAACGGGCTGCATCTGGATGTTGCACGTTTCGGATGATCTGCGCGTCTGTCGGCGCGGCCGTTGTTGGGGCAGCAGGCGGCGGGGCCTTCGGTGGAGGTTCCTGTGGGCCCACGACGCGTGTGAGGGGTGTGCCGAAATGGGCGCGGTCACGCATGCGATTCCTGTAACTGTGGCCTTCGGTGGTCCCACCCCATGGGACCACCAAGCGTGTGAGGGGTGCGCCGAACAGGTGTGGAGGAGGTATGCGAAACGCAGCCATGGAGGCCTTCGGTGGAGCTCCCCACAGGGCCACGAAGCGCGCGCGGGGTGCGCCGAAATGATGCGGAGAAGGTCTGCGAGCCCAGCCACTGGGGCCGTCGGTGGGGTTCCTTATGGGGCCACGAGGCGTGTGAGGGGTGCGCCGAAGTTGTGTGTGGAGGCATGCGAACTCAACCGCTGGGGCCCTCGGTGGTGTTTCTGATTGGACCACAACGTGTGTGAGAGGTGCGCGGAAATGGTGTGGCGAAGGTGTGCGACCGCAGCAACGGCTGGGGCTTCGGTGGATTGTGGGGCCACGGAACGTGTGACAGGTGCGCAGCAACGGCGTGGAGAAAGCATACGAACGTAGCTACTGGGGGCTTCGGTGAAGCTCACTATGGGGCCACGAAACCTGTGAATGGTGCGCCGGCATTGCATGGGGAAGTATACGGACGCAGCCTCGGTGGCCTTCGGAGGAGCTCTCAATGGGACCACGAAGCTTGTGAGGGGTGCGCCGAAATTGTGTGGAGACGACATGCGAACGCAGCCATTGGGGCCGTCGGTGGATCTCCCAATGGGCCACGGAGGCCACTGTGGCCTTCGGTGGAGCTCTGTGTGGGGCCACGAAACGTGTGACAAGTACGCTGTAATGGTACGGTGAAGCATGCGAACGCAACCACTGGGGCCTTCGGTGGGCTTCATTATGGGGCCACAAAACGTGTGAAGGGCTCGCCGGCATTGTATGAGGAGGTATGCGAACGCAGCCTTGGTGGCCTTCGGAGGAGCTCTCTGTGGGGCCACAAAGCTTGTGAGGGATGCGCTGGAATTGTGTGGAGACGGCATGCGGACGCAGCCATTGGGGCCTTCGGTGGATCTCCCTATGGGGCCACGGAGGCAATTGCGGCCTTCGGTGGGTGACAGGTGCGCAGTAATGGTGTGGTGAAGGTATGCTAGCGCAACCGCTGGGGTCTTCGGTGGGGCTCATGATGGGGCCACGAAGCGCGTGAAGGGTGCACCGAACAGGTGTCGAAATGGTATGCGAACGCAGATACTGGGGCCTTCGGTGCAGCTCCCTACGGGACCACGAAACGTGTGAGAGGTGTGCCGAACAGGTGTGGAGGAGGCATGCGAACTCGGCCATTTGGGCCTTCGGTGAAGCTCCCCATGGTACCGCGAAACGAGTGAGGGATGCGCCCAACTAGTGTGGAGGAGGTCTACGAACGCAGTAACTGGGGCCGTCGGTGAAGCTTCGTATGGGGCCACAGAGCTGGTGAAATGATGTGGAGGAGGCATGCGAACTCGGCCACTAGGGCCTTCGGTGAAGTTCCCTATGGACATGGACACGCGGATTTCAGAGGCAGGGAGAGAGAGGAGGAAGGAGGACGAACGGAAGTGGGAGGAAGGGGGGACGCGGGACGAGGACCGAACGCTACAGGATGGTTGGGATTGAGATTGGGTTCTAGGGTTTGCGGTGAGGTGCTGGAGCACCCCCATGCATAGTAAGTTGAGGTGAGGGTGATGCAGAAGAGGAGGAGGAGGAGGAGAAGGAGGAGGAAGAGGAGGCCCAACCTCGGTAAAGCGAACACGCCCAGCCCAGCGCGGGATCAAACAGACAAGCGTAGTCCTTCATAGGCCCACCGTCCCGTTGGACGCCGCGGTGCCTCAGGGCCGCACACCCTGCAGCTCTTGAAGGCCGCAGCGCCCCAGGGGTCGCGCCCCAGAAGTCTGGCGTCGCCGCAGAGGCTGAATGATGGCCACCACGGCCTATCGTGTACCGTCTTGCGCTTGGCTCGCTCAAAGGCGGGCGACAGCCGGCTTAGGTGAATCGGGGCCGTGCAGGCGCGCCACGACCTCCAGCTTCAGATACGTCACCTGAAGTCCCATGCTGCACCCTTCGGCAGCCGTCCCTGCAGCTTCCACAACAGCATGCGCCGCTCACATGATGGGCACGCTTCGGGTGAGCCTGGATATACGCATCTACGGTGACCGAAGCGCTGCGTTCAGAGTCTGGGATCTGGCGAGCTTTGGCAAGCGGCGTCGGATCGAGCTTTGCTTGGGCCGACGTGCTACATTAGCGAGGCTCCACACTGAACGCAGAGGAAGAATCGGGGAGGTCGTCTTCAGCGGGCCCGACCGAGTCCGCATTGATGATGTTGGGTCCGTCCGTTGCGCTCCAACCCAGCCCCCTCCTGGACCCCGAGGGCCGAGCCCACCGCGATCCAGGCGGGTTCCTCCCAGAGCTGCGATGCCCCCTCAACGCCTCCAGACTCGGGAGGAGCCTGCATTTCAGTGAACGGGTCAGCTAGCATCCAGTCAGTTTGCAGGCGCGCGACGAGTTGTGCGAGCTCAGGCTGTCTACTTTCACGTCGGTCAGGAAGAGCGGGTTCTGCTATGGACGTTTCGCGTGTACACTCACACCCAGCAACCATTCCCAGGCGAGCTGTCTTGAGAAGGGCAGTGGTGGACTGTCCGTGAAGCAGAGAGGGGGGACACCAGTCAAGGCGAAGCTGGTTTCAGCCAGAGTAGCCCCCAAGGATAGCTAAGCAGGGACACGCTGCTGATCTCCTCCCCTCCTGGCGAACAGACCGGCAAGAAGGAGCGAATGTTCTCCCCCTCCAGTTCCCCCGTCCTTCTCACCTCTTTCGGGAGGGGGGGGAGACAGAGGAAGGAGGAAGAGGACGAAGGGCGAAGGATACAGGAGGCAGAGACGAGGAGGAGGAGGAGGAGGAGGAGGAGGAGGGGACAAAGAAACGGAAGAGGCGGAGGGACCAGTTCAAAGTTACGACGCATCGGCGATGTAACAAAAGCCTCCCTCCAAGTTCCCATCTCATAGGTGTAATCTTCAATCGTGCCTGGGACTTCCAAGCCCAGAATACGATTACTGGGACTTCAACGCCGCGAATCAAGATAACTGGTGCGTCCTGCCAAGCCTACATCGCGCCTGAATGCAATTATTTGGACTGCATTCCTACGACAGCTTGGAACTCTAACGAATGCGCGCGGCGCTGACGCGAGCACTATATTATAGAAAGGAACCGCCCTCCTTGTCTTTGAAGGATTTGCATGTTTCAAATAATGTGCGCGGCGATAAGGCAAGAACAATAGTTTGAAAATTGCCCTCCCTCCATCCTTGAGGCTGTTTCCAACTTCAGGCTTCAGGGCAATAAATGGTGAGGATACCTCAGGCGAAACGCCCGGCCCGCCCTACCGACACGTCTGGGGGTGCAACAGGGAGGAATTAGTTATAAGGCAAAGGGATGGAGGAGGAGGAAGAACAAGAGGGGACTTGCAAAGCATATCAGGCCTCTTAGGACTCTTCAGCACCTCTGGCAACGTCTGGAGGTCTCATCCTGCTCCACCTCATCGTCCTCTTCCCATTGACTCTCACATTGCCTTCTATTCCTTGGACCTGCAGGTGATGCGCTCATCCGGCTGAGGGCCGTCTCCAGCGCACGCCTGGTTATGCGGCAGCCCGCCGACAAGGCATTCAAGGGGTGATTTCCCCAAGAGTTGTAGGAGAGAGAGAGAGAGGGATTGTGATCAATATCGGGATGTTCCCCTCGTCGGCGCACGTTGTGTTTTCTTCTCTTCAGTCTCTTCCTCCCTCATCCCTCTCTCCGCCTCCCTCTTCTACACGTGCATTCCATCCAGCCATCCTGTGGTGTTGGGTCCTCGTTTTGAAGAGACAGCGCCTTGCGTTCCTCACTCACTCCTTCCTCCTCCCTCTCCTCCCTCATCATCATCATCATCATCATCATCATCATCAGCAGCAGCATCATCATCAGCATCGTCAGCATCATCATCATCATCATCATCATCATCATCATCATCATCAGCATCAGCATCAGCATCACCATCACCATCACCATCACCATCACCATCACCATCACTATCACCATCATCAACATCATTGCCGTCATCATCACCCATGTTGGCACACCCTTCACACGTTTCGTGGCCCCAGAGGGAGCTCCACCTGAGGCCCCAGTGGCGACGTCCCCTATGCGTCTGCGCCACCCATTGTGGCATACCTCTCACACGCTTCGTGGTCCCATTGGGAGCTCCACCTAAGGCCCTAGTGGCGACGTTCCCATGCGTTTGGGCACGCCCCTCACACGGTTCGTTGCCTCAAAAGGAGTTCCACCTACGGCCCCAGTGGCGACGTTCCTACGCGTCCGCGCCATCCACTTTGGCACACCCTTCACAAGTTTCGTGGCGTCATAGGGAGCTCCACCTCAGACTCCAGCGGCGACGTTCCCATGCGTCCGCGTCACCCACATCGGTGCACCATTCACCGGGTTCGTGGTTCCATAAGGAGCTCTACTTAAGGCTTCAGTGGCGACGTTCCCATGCGTCCGCGCCACCCATTTTGGCGCACCCCTCACACGGTGCGTGGCACACAGGAAGCTCCACCGAAGGCCCCAGTGGCGATGTTCGGCCGCGCCACTCATTTCGGCACGCTCCTCACACGGTTCGTGGCCCCATACGGAGCTCCACGTAAGGCCCTAGTGGCGACGTTCCCATGCGTCCGTGCCACCCATGTTCGGCGCGACCCCCCCCACCCATTCGTCCGCGCCACCGCAGAGGACATCCACAATTGCGGTAATCACATCTGCGCATGATTGGGCTTGCCTCCCAGCGAATTATTTCGTGCCATCCGAAGGGGCGTGGACCCCCCTCCCCAAAAACGGGACACTCCGGACCCGCGGCCAATTGGGACCCCCTCGACGCCCGTGCAGAAGGCCCCCAAGAAGTTCCAGAGCTCCTGGGCGCCCCTGCTGGGCCGCGCCAACGGGCCCAAATCGGTCAGAAGTGCGGCCAGATGGCCCGACGAGAGCCCCGAGCGGCCTCGGACACCCACCGGACGCCCGAAGGCGACCCACAGAAGATCCCAAAGAGGCCCTGGAAGAGCAAAGGAGCATTGATTTCATTGTTGCACGATTGTGGAAGTACTCGGTTCTTCTGTTTTCTGAGCGTCCGAGGCCGCCCACGAGGTTGGAAAGGCTCACACAAACGACCCCACAGGGCTCCCAGACAGTCCAAAAGTGCCCCAGAACGATAGAACAGGGCCCCAGCATGGCCCGAAGAGAACCCCATGACCACCCAAGATGACACCAAAATGCCCCCCGAGGCACTCGCAATCGTGACCTGGCCGTGCAGGGAGACCGCGATCGGAAGCAGTGTGGCCCGATGAAGCTCCCAGGGGACCCGAGAAGGCGCCCTGGAGGCTCCCAGAAGGCCCCTACGAAGCTTTCAGACATGTCCGCGAGAACCCGCAGCAGGTTCTCCAGGGAGCAGCCTCCGCAAGAAGAGCTGGGGAGGGTGGGGAAGGGTTCGCAGGGTAGGGTAGGTCGAGAATGAGGGCGAGGAGAGGACGCAGGAGGGAAGGAGAAGGAATAACATGATTATGACGACGATACATGCCGCAAATGTTAAGACATAATGCAGCAAATGCCGCAAATGTCATCACTAAGTTATTGCAATATTCACCGTCCGCCTGCATGCCAAGCCTCAAGAACCTAGGCGCATGGCGCGAAGCGCCAATACAAATTGTTCGTGAGTCTAACCTCAGAGGGTCTTTAAATGATCTCTGGCCCCCCTAAGCTCTCGTCTGGCGAGTAAAAGTTCGCCCTTCCCATTCCAGCCCGTCCACTCATCATCCTCATCATCATCATCATCATCATCATCATCATCATCATCATCATCATCATCATCATCATCATCATCATCATTATCACTATCATCATCAGAGCATCATCATCATCAGCGTCATCATGATCACCACCATCAGGGGTCCCCCCCGATCATCAGCAGTGGCCGCCGCAGAGGAATAATCATGTTCCAAGTATCTTTGGGAGTTCGCGCAGCAAGTGACCAGACGAGCTATTTACAGCAACCCGGAGTAGAGAGTTGTATTCATGTTAAGTGGGGCCCGCGCGCGCGGAGAGTTGATGGGAGTGCGCGAGACAGCGTAGGGCTCATCCTGTAAAGTTGATAACCGAAACCCCCTCCGCCGTAGAATAATACACCTGAGAAAACCCAATCAGTGGATGATTTGAAAGTTGGTACCATGGATCTTGAGATCGATTGTGAGATCGATAGTGTAATCGATAGCGAGGTCGATTGGAAGGTCGATCGTGAGACCGAGAGTAAAATCGATTCAATGAGATCGACAGCGAGATCGATCGCGAGATCGCTCATGCGATCTCTAGTGAGATCACTTGTGATATTGATAGTGAGATCGATTGTGAGATCGATCGAGAAGTCGGCAATGAGATCGATGGCGAGACCGATCGATAAGAAGATCGACCAGGAACCCGGGAACCCGGGAACCTTGCCGCGCTCCGAAATCGGCCCGGAACCCGAGAACCCGGGAACCCAGAACCCGGGAACCCGGGAACCCAGCTTGCCACCAAAATCGGCGGGGCGTTTTGCCAAATCTTTCAACTTCCGCTAGGACCCCTTCAGTGCAAGCATTGGTTGGGAAACAATTCCAAACAACCAAAAATACACAGCGTTCCTTGCATCCCAGACCAAAAAAACAGAAAGAACAAACATACACAGGGGTTCTTTGCTCCGAGAGCGCTGCGAGGAGGAGGAAGAGGAGGGAGCAGGAGGAGGAGGAGGAGGAAGAGGAGGAGAAGGAGGAGGAGAAGGAGGAGGAGGAGGAGCAGGACGAATCATGCGAAGAATACAGAAGAAGCCAGCAGGGGAATCAGAAGAGGCCGACACAGAACAGAACCAGAGAGAGGTATGGTCTTGGGGGGGGTGCGACCATGTGTATTATGGATGAATACTAGGTCCCCAGCCCGGGGGCCCCGCCCACATCGCAACCATCGGGCCCCTTTTTTTAATACCCCCGCCCTGGCGCCTCCAAGGGGCCTCCAGACGGCCCAGGAGGCCTCCAGGAGGCCTCCAAGACAGCCCCAGGAAGCACCCAAGATGTCCATGAGGGCTCCGAGACGCCATAAGATCGGTCCAAGACAGTCAAGATAGTCCCTAGACGGCCCAAGAGGCTTCCAAGACGCCCCAAGAGGCTTTTTCAAGAGGGCCACATGAGGCTAAAAATGGTTGTTTTTGTGGATGGTTTTGGCGGACTTTTTGTGGTTCTCACCTTTGCGGCTTCCCGACGCTCCAAGATAGCCGAAGAGGCCCCCAAGATCGCCCCAAGACGGCCCAAAAGGCTCGCAAGACGGCCCCCAGACGGCCCAAGAGGGCTCCAAGACAGCCCAGGAGGCCTCCAAGACGGCCCAAGAGGGCCCCAAGACGGCTGTAAGAAGGGGCCCAGACAGGGAATCCGCACGGACTTTACGGGCCCTGGGCCCCAAAAAAGCCCCCTCTAAGAAGCGCCCCGGAGGCCCCCAAGACGCCGCCAGAAGCCCCCGAAGGGCTCCCAAGATGCATGTCACATGTGCACGACAAACAGATCCCATGGGCCATGCTGGTACTTTTTCCCCATGTGTGTATATACATATACACATATATATATATATATATATATATATATATATATCGGAATAGGCCAGGGGGGGCCAGGCCAGTGCCGAACCCCCCCATGGGTGCATTGGGGGGTCCCGGGGCTGCTCCCAAACACGCCACGACACACCAAGAGGGCCCTAAAGATTGCCAAGAGCCCCAAGAGGCCCCGGACACGCCGAAGATGGCCTCAGGACGGCCGACGACGCCGCCAAAACGCCCCAAGAGCGCCTCCAGAGGCCCCTCCAAATGGCCCCAGAAGCCGAAAATCATACATTGTCCGTTGGTTTTTGAAGCATTTCTGCGCTCTCGTATGTTCCACCTCCCCACGGTTCCGGAAGGCGTCAGAGACCCTTCAGATCGCTCCGAGACGGCTCAAGAGGCTCCCAAGAAAGCCCAGAGACGGCCCAGGAGGCTCCCCAGGTAATTCAAAAGGGCCTCGAGAGCGCCCGAAGAGAGCCCCAAGAGCGACCCAAGAGGGCCCGAAGAGCGCGACATTTCAAGGTCTCCGCCTTGAGAGGCTCCTAGGACGCCCCCGGAGGCCATCAAGAGGCTCCCAAGACGCCCCGTGAGGCTCCCAAGAGATCCCCCGGAAGCCCCAATAGGCTCCCAAGGGGCCCCTAGGGAAGCCCCCTGCGGTCAGGCCCCCAGGAAGCCCCAAGAGGCTCCCAAGAGGCCCCCAGGAGACTCCCACGGGGCCCCAAGAGGCAACCACGAAGTACCTAAGAGCCCCCCTAGAGCTCTCCAAGAGGCTTCCGAAAAAACTTCCACCACCCATATCCGAACATGCATCCAGCAGGCCACTGGCCCATCACCCAGGTATGGCGGCCTCAGGTCCACAACCCCAGTTACCAAGACGCTCGGTCTTGGAGAGGAATGCTGAGGGCGAGGACGACGACGAAGGCGACGGCGATAATGGCGATGACGATGACGATGGTGATGATGACTACGACGACGACGACGACGACGACGACGACGACGACGACGACGACGACGACGACGACGACGACGACGACGATGATGATGATGATGATGATGATGATGATGATGATGATGATGATGATGATGATGATGATGATGACGATGACGATGACGATGATGACAATGATAATGGTGATGTGGGTGACGATAGTGACGATGATGACGATTGCGATGATGACGACGGTGATGACGATGGTGTTGCTGATGGTGATGGTGATGATGATGGTGTTGGTGGTGATGGTGATGGTGATGGTGATGGTGATGGTGATGATGATGATGTCGATGACGATGACGATAAGCGCGCACGAAGTATGTATGTCTGTCTATCTGTCTGTCTGTCTGCCTGTCTGTCTTTATGTATGTATGTATGTATGTATGTATGTATGTATGTATGTATGTTTGTATACATACCTATATATGTATGTATATGTATATATGTATGTATATAGACATAGATTATCCAATCAGTCCTTTCACTGAAGGGGTCCTAGCGGAAATTGGAAGATTTTGCGAAAGTTTCCCGCCGATTTTGGTAGCCGGCTGGGTTCCTGGGTTCCCCGTTCTGGGTTCCCGGGTTCCTGGTCATTGGTTCCGGTTCGATTTCGGTGGGTTCCGGATTCCCGGGTTCCCAGTCGATTTCTGTATCGATTTGCGTATCGATCCCATTTCAAACCATCCTTTGATTGGTTTTCCCGCTGGTGTAATACACTTAAAGCATGGATGTGTGCATACGTGTATGTATGTGTGTCTGCAGCTTTTTGCGCGGAGAGGTGTCAGACTTCACGGTGGCTTTGTTTCAGGAGGTCGCCGAGTGGGGCCCGACAGAAGAGCAGGCTGGCTTGCAGGCCATCGCGCGCGAGGCGCTTCTCCGGTGTCTTGCGGGTCTGGCCTTTCTCTAACAGCATTAAGCGTGGAGTAGAGTGGAGTACAGAAGCAAGTAGAGCAGGCTCAGGCTAGAGTAAGATGGGCATGGGTAGAGTAGAGTAGGGACGGGCGGGGCAGGTTATGCAAGCAGATATCTCGCACCAGTGCCCGGGGCTCCAGCCATTCCCGCCCGATCCCTCCCGAACCAGTGGCACCAACGCGTGGCACAAACGCATGAATCGAGAGCTACAGGCTCAGAAGTAGCTCTCCGGACGCCGCACCAAAGTCCCAAAACAACACACCCGAAAGACAAAGGAAGGCTTCTGCGCGCCACCTCGCCCGCATCCGCGGACGCGCGGTCCAAGCGCCCCCCCCATAGAATTCTGAAGGGGCATCCGCCTGCTGGGGGTCCCTAGGGTGGTGCGTCTGGCTGGGCGCCTGGTTTCACCTGGTTTGGCCGCGCATCCCGCCTCAAACATCCTCAGAATCTGCCATCTTTGACGCCTGGTTTGGCGCCCGTTTTGAGTCTGGTCTCATGTAGACGTCTTCGACATTGCCCGGTTTGGCCCTGGTTTGGCCTGGTTTGGGCCCGCTTTCGCTTAGGACGTCCTCACTAGATACTTCGTTTGGCATTGGTATAGCCTGGTTTGGGCCCGTTTCGCTGGTTCCGCTTGAGACGTCCTCGCAACGTTCCGCGTTCCGCCTGACAAGTCCTAACAATGATCGGTGGAGATTCGAAAGGACATATCGCACAAGAGAAATCATCGCAATTCGCCCGTTCCAAGACGTGGGCATGGCCCGAATACAACCAAATGCACATACGTACACGGAGCGTGGTGGGTGGGTGTAATTCACAAGTAAGGGCATGGTGTGTAATGGAATCCCAATGCGGTCCACATCAAGTACGACTGCGCTACAACATTACGGGTGGAATGGGCGTGGACATTCCCAACACGTTGCGGCTCGGCAGGGGCGCGTGTGGCGGCGTTCGGAGAAAGCTTTGCTGAGCCTGTAGTTGCGCGCCTGGCCGCGCTGGCGTGTGAATGCCTACGTCGCGAGCAGGACGATCGCCGCGCTCACAGATCCTAGAGCTGCTTCGGCGTGCGAATCCCACCGCAAAGTCAACGTGCAGTTCACAGAGTGTGGAAATTCACATTGCCACACCGTGTTTGCACTTACGGATGCTGACTTGCACGTCTTGAGTAATTCCTCAAGCACTGCGTGCGCCCAGGGTTCCTCTCGTGTCGTACACGGGAACTGAATGGGCGCGTCGGGTTTTAGCGACGCTGCGGGCCCGTGGTATGTTGGGTTTGCGCCACGTTGCCGCCCGTGCCGCCTCGCTTAGTGGGCGCCCCACGTGCAGAGGGTCGGCCGAAGTGTTCGCCGCGTTGCCGCCCGTGCCGTCTCGTAGGCGCTCTGCGCTTGGGGTGTGAGGTTTGCGCAACGTTGCCGCCCAAACCGCCTTGTGGGTTACCCTGCGGGCGCCCCGTGCCATGCGCTCACACGGTATAGCTTGCAACCCATAGTTTGCACGAAGTAGCTCTTCACCACGTAGTGCACATCGCATAGCTAACACAATCTAGCTTCCACCCGATAGCTTACATCGCGTAGCTCACACAATGTAGCTCACACCCCGTAGCTTACAACCCATAGTTTTGGCCTCCAGTGCGCATAGCATAGCTTACACGGCATAGTTCACACCACATCTTGTACAGCGTAGTTTCCACTTCCATGATTCATATCTGCATCGACTGCACAACACATCGTTCGTCACATAACTTACACCGCACAGCTTACACCTCCACAGATCACACCACATAGCTTACAGACGATAGCTCCCATCAGATATCATACCACCCCACAGTTGCGGATAAGAGTGAGGGGGCGGCGGGAACTTCGGCAGTTCGCTAGGCGTTGAAGAAGCTTGCTGCAGGCGCAGCGTTTCCACAAATCATACAACCAACCCGCCGCAGGCGCCGATTTTTTTACTAAGGCAATGCGGGTGGGTCGCGGAGTGCGTCGCGGGGTGGGTCGCGAGTGGGTCGCGGGCCGGGTCGCGAGGTGGATCGCGGGTGGGTCGCGGGGGTGGGTCGCAGGCCAGGTCATGGGGGGGGGACGACAACAACAACAACAACAACCAACAACAACAACAACAACAACAACAACAACAACCAACAACAACAACAACAACAACAACAACAACAACAACAACGCAATAACAAACATAATCCGCGCCGCGAAGTCCCGCTTCAGCCACGCACCCAGGGACAGTGAATGACCGTTCGGCCCCCTCACTCTGACTTGGAGTGGGTCGCAAGTGAGTCGAGTCGCAGGTGGGTCGCGGGTGGGTCGCGGATGGGTCGCGGGGTGGGTCGCGAGTGGGTCGGCGGGTGGGTCGCGCGGTGGTGGCACTCCCCTAAACCAATGCAGTGAAGCCCGGCGCAGGCGCCGATTCTTTCTTGGCTGTGATAGAATCAACATGGTGTGAGTCGCGGGTGGGTCGCGGGTGGGTCGCGGGGTGGGTCGCGAGTGGGTCGCGGGGTGGGTCGCGGACGCTCCCCTAAACCACTTCAGTTGAACTCGCCACAGGCGCCGTTTTTTGTTTAGATTGTTGTATAATCAATGTGGTGTGGGTCGTGGGGATGGTTGATGGTGGGTCGCGGGGTGGGTCGCGGGTGGGTCGCGGGGTGGGTGGGTCGCGGGTGGATCGCGGCTGGGTTGCGGGGTGGGTCGCGGGTGGGTCGCGGGTGGGACGCGGGAGGGTCGCGGGTAGGTCGCGGGTGGGTCGCGGTCAGGTGGATCGCGGGCGGGTGAGTCGCGGGCGGGTGGGTCGCGGGGGTGGGTCGCGGGCCGCGTCGCGGAGGGGACGACGCAACATCAAGCAAAATGTTCGCCGTGGATCCCCAATTCAGCCACGCACCCAGGGACTGTGAATGACCGTTCGGGCCCCCGCATACTGAGATTGCATTGAGCAGATTGTCATGCATGGCTTGCACCACATAGTTCACATCGTAGCTTTTTCACCTTGCACCACCTGGTTTTGTTTTTATACAAGTTAGATTCGGACCCACACAAACATCCCACTCGAATCCGGACTGTTCGAGCCAAGCCGCCCAGCCGCGACCGGCATCCCTCATCTTAGTCACATGATAATAACATGCGCGCGCAGTTCGTTGAATCTCTTTCAACACACTACACGCCCACACGCGCGCGCACATGCCGAAATCAGATGAATCATTGTTCCGACCAGTTCAACACAACAGCATTACACCCACGGGCTTTCCCAATTCCAAGTTTACCCAGTTTCCGTTCGCGCGTATTTGTTGAACTGTCGGACCGTCATACGAGCTTCATATTCTCATCCAGAAATAACATTATCATCTCACCCCGCGGTGCATCCTCGTTGGTCTAGCACGCGCCCAGTGCACGAACCTGTATCCACGAATACCAGGCGGGCCACATGCGCGCGCGGCTACTCGCGCGTATTGGCACCCCTCCAAACACAGATGATCAACCAAGTGGTTTTTGACAGCAAGTCTGCCAGATTCCTGGAAGTTCTGCGCGCGCCTTTCCTCATTACCTGCATCAGCGCCATCACAGTACCGCATGTATCGTCACATCGTCGTATTGGATTGCATCAGCATAATCACCATTATCATCATCATCAGCATCACCGAATCATGGACATCATTCGTCGTCACCGTCGTCTCCAGCATCGGCGCAGTCATTGGCCTCTCCGTCGTCATGATCGCTCCCGCCACCCCCGTCGCTATTACCATCGCCGGCCCGAGTCACAGACCCACTCTGAAGTGCCCGCGCGCCAACGCGGCCTGGTAGACGCGCCTGGAAGTACCCAGCGGTATTCGCTGTCGCGTTCGCATCACTTGTGCCAAAGAGCTGGCCGATCGACGCGCGAATGTGCGCGCGCCAGCGCGGCCGTCGAGACGCGCTAGCAATTCCGACTTGGGTGCCGCAATCGTGGCCGAACGTGCGATTTGCCAAACAAGCTGTGGGTGGGTGGGTAGGATGTTTGCACGAGCAGTTCACACCGCGTAGCTTACACCACATCGATTGCGCCCCGTATTTTCCACACCCGCACAGCTTGCACGGCGCATTCTTCACCACGCGGCTTGCACCGCGTGGATTTTATTACCTTCTAGGCTCGCATCACATTGCTTACACCATATGGTTTCCATCACATAGCTTCCACCGCAAATCTTGCACTTTCACAGTGTTCTCTCACTGTTTGGGGTTGTCGCTGGCTCACGTTGGATGGGTGCCGGGGTTTCGGTCAGTGCCTGGTTGGCTGGGTGCCCGTTGGCGCCTCGTGGACGCCAGCGTTGGGCGGGTGCTGCCGAGGTTTCGCATGGCGCCCGTCTGTGACCGCCCGTGGGCGCCTCCTGCGAGGCTTCGCCTCGTGGGTGCCTCGTGCGCTGGGTGGATGTGCCGCGGTTTCGCTTGGAGCCCGCCCGTGGGCGCCCGTGGGCGCCCGTGGGCGCCGCGTGCGCTGGGTGGGTGTGTCGAGGGGTTTTCGCTTGGCGCCCCCTCCTCCTCCTCCTCCTCCTCCTCCTCCTCCTCCTCCTCCTCCTCCTCCTCCTCCTCCTCCTCCTCCTCCTCCTCCTCCTCCTCCTCCTCCTCCTCCTCGTGCCGAGGAGACCGGTGCTGGCCCGTGGCCGCCTCGTGAGCGCCTCATGCTCTGGGGGGGGGGGGCCGCACACATGTCACAATTTTGCTTTTACCGCACGTTGCACCACGCAGCTTCCACCACACAGCTCCCACAGCCTTGCGTTCGTCACAACGCTCGGGCCACACAGCTTTCGCACCACAGCTTGCAACACATAGATTGCACCGCGCTGCTGACACTGCATCATTTACAGCAGGTGCCTTACTATGCGTAGCTTGCCCCACGTCGTTGTCACCACAAAATGTTCATCACAACTTGCACCACTCAGCGTGCACCGTGTAGGTTGCACCACATAGCTCGCACCACGCAGCT